AATGTTTTTAATAGAAGTAGATAGTCAACCACTAGCAAAAACTGAAATGTTTTCCGAACTTTTCTATAAATATTAATTAAGAATAACTTGGTTAAACAGAAAATATAAAATTTTGGACCCCCCTTCCTCCTTCCTTATAAAAGTACAAAACGGGTTTGCTTGAAAGATACAAATCAAACTTACACTGTTTTGAAAACAACAATTATACAATGACATAAATCAAACTCACACTGGTTTGAAAATTACTTATCGAACAGAAAACAGTTCGTAAAACGTGATAGTATAAAAACAAAAAAATACTACAACTTGTGGAGTTCCAACTGTGGGTTCTAAATTAGGATTTTTACTTTTACTACTAAGGGAGACTTCGGACAGTTTTTACTCTAATTGGGACACGTATATCGGACATATATAGGGAAGATTATGGACATCAAACAAATAAATACGCAATTTCAAAAATGATAGTTTATTTTTCATTTATAAATTATTGCAACTGGTATTCATCCAAATTGCACTTAAAATATATCATGTCCTTAAAACGAGACCTCTGAATGCAAGTTCTTCATTAGTTCTTATAAATGTATTGGAAAGAATTTTCCTTTTGTAAAACTCCACTTCATAACCACCTTTTACTTTTTTAACAACTTTTGCTGTACAGTTACGAATTGATTGTTTTCCCCATCCATATACCATTACAATTATAAATCTTCCTTCCAGCACATCAAAAATATCAGTATTGCTGTCATTTAATCGATCGTTATCAAGGTTATATGTACTCTTAATCGTTGAAATTTGTAGATCTAATGATTTATTTGACAACGATTCTCAAAGGATTGCTTTTTTAGAGGTTTTTCCCTGTAGAACCTTTTTCTTGGTTGTTTTTTTTGTAAGCTTTTTAGCTATTCTTGCTCTTTTTATTAAAGCATCGGAAAAGACTTTAGACAATGTCCGAAATGTCCTATAAGGGGTATATTGAAAAAATAAAGGAAAAAGTTACAAACTTATAGATAGATTACAAATACTTACATTCCAACGTCCACAGGTAACCGTTTGTTCTAAAAAAAAATTGCACCAACTCACCAATTGCACTCTAAAAAAAAACTCTGGCAGAGTTCATAATTAGGATCTGAATGATTCAATTGGAATTGAAAATTTTACGTCAAAGAACCAAAAAATTGTTTTTACACTCTAAAAATTTTGTTTTTTAGCGGGATACTGTCACCTCACTATTTTAAAGCTAAGAACATATGTCTACCAACATATCGACTATAGACAATATTTTTCTAATGTTAACAGGGTAGGAGATTTAGAAGTGTTAAATTTTATTTGATTTGCAGATGAATCCAATCTTTAATCAATAAAACTGACATTAAAAGATAAACATTCGTTAATTTTTTAGGAGTAAATGTTGATAAAGTTTTATTATGGAACATATAAACTTTTTAGAAAAAGATTGAGAATTGTTGCATTCAATAAAAAAGCGTGAAAATAAACTATCAAATCTTTGAACCAAGGGGCCATCCATAAAGGACGTCATTCAAATATGGATGGGGGGGGGGAGGAGAGGGGATCGAGTTAAAAAGGACAAAAAAGGACAAGGGGAGGGGGAGGTTGTCAGAAAAGGACGTCACTTTATAGATTTTTTATTTTAGTATAGTTAACATGGAAAACTACGTAAACATGTGTTTTTGAGAAGATAATGTATGAGAATATTTTTAATTTTATTATTCAACGGTGTAGCAGCAGATCCAAACATTATTGCAAGATGAAATATATTTTTTTGAAGTTAAAAATATGGAGGGGGTCACGATTTTATGACGTCCTTTTCCAGGGGGTATAGGGAAAAAGGACAACCGGTGACAAAGGGGGGAGGGGGTCAAAAATTGGCAAAAAAAAATGGTGACGTCCTTTATGGATGGCCCCCAAGACAAATATTCCGAGAAACAGGAAAGTGGCATCATCAGTATTGATTTATATATATATTTTAATTTATGTTTATTTATATTTCGTTTAAATTAATTATTTTTATTTTCGTTTAAAGTAATTATATAAAATAATTATTTAACAAAAAGATTTTTAAAATTTTTTTATTTGAAGATAAGTATAATATAGATACATAAAAGTATATATAGAAAATTAGTGTTAGTATTTCAAAGTTGATGAATTTTTATTTAGAAAATGTAATGCTACGTAATACAACGCGTAAAATTTTGCAATGCGTAAAAAAAATGTTACGCCACCAGCCTTGGTTTTAGTATGAACTTTTATTTATTTTTAATTATCTCTGTGACTTTTCTTATTCTCTGTTTACAGAAAAGTTGAGAATTTTGATGTACTCAGGTTCATAATTTGATGTCTTTTCGGTTAAAATTGTTGAGAAAGATAATTTTCTTTTGATGATCAGTGGCGTCAGTGTGCGTGGGTGGAGAGAGGGGGGAGGGAAAAGCAAGGGGGAGCGAGGGGAAATAAACCTGCATCGAAAGACAACATCACAACCTGAAACAGAGGGGTGATACAAAAATGAAAAATTGCAAGTATGCAGAAGTTCTGCATATTTGCAATTTTTTTTAAACGCAATTTAACACAAGCATGCTGGGATGACATTTTTTTACGCATTGCAAAATTGTTACACAAGCATGAGCAGTTCTGCAGCAGAACTGCTCATGCTTGTGTTAATTTATATTTGCGTTTGACCTAACCAATAGATTTTTCAATATTCTTTTTTAATAAATCTGCTATTTCCTTTACTCGACACAAAAATCTTTCGTTATTTATTCAAGAGCAAAAGATTGTATTTTGTATGCCCTAACTTTTTTTCACTGACGCCACTGTTGATGATGTTTATGTTGCTAAGTATCTGCTCACGACAATATGTAAATTCAAAAACTATCAAGAGTCCAAACGCCGTTATCTTAAGTGGGTTGTAACTCTCAGGAAGATTATTCCACGTTTTAAATATATTTAGTGCGCCAGAAGCCCTAATTTTCAAATGTACCTTAAAAAAATGTTTACATTGGGGTGAAGTGGGACAGAAAAAATAAATATTTATGCCCTGCTTCTTCCCATCGCCATTTGATTATTTCGATTGGCGAAAGCTCTTGAACATTTTCATGTCGATTAGGTGATTTTATAATTTTCTCAGTTTCTGTTTAATAATTTGTGTTAAAATGTTGCTTAAAATTTATTTGTACCACTTCTACTAGCACTTGTTCCGTTTCACCCCAATGGCACGGTTTCTTTAAAGGAAAAAATTTATATATTTAGTTATAATTGGCTGGAAACCTAAGGGAAGAGAACCGATGTCTAAAAAGAAGGTTTATTTGTAAAAACTTTTTTGGTTCTGTTTATACATCAAATAAGAAAAAAAAAATTGTAATTATGCTAAAAAAAATTTACGTGTCCCATTTCTCCCCACTCACCTCTGCATTTTGAAGACCAAATATCTTTTGATTTCAAATCAATTTACCTTTCGAAATGAATTAAAATTTATTTTATCGGTATTTACAGTGGATGTGTCAAAATGAGTGGATATGTCAAAATGACAATACAATTTTTTTCTTTTCTGAACTCTTTAAAATATTTAACAAAGAACCGTTTATTTTTTTGATAAAAGCCAAAAAAAACTTAGACGTCCTGCTTTTTAAATTGAAAAAATAAATTATCATTAACTTTCAAAATTATTATTTTGAACAAACATAGATTAATGACTTTCTTAAGAAACTTCCATTTATAAAAGTGAATTTTGGATCAATGGCAGTGTTTAAGCTAGTAAGAATTATTTTCTTTTCTAACCTAAAAAACAGGTTTTACTCTGTTGTATTTTCTGTACATTTCTTCACATTTAATAATTCACAGGTTTTATACAATGCTTATCCGTACTATTTTTGTTCACACAAAGTTGGCCCGCACAAGTTGATTGTGTGAAAATGTTCAAGAAGTTGATTAATGTTCAAAATGTTCAAACAGAAAGTATTTTTTATCACTAAATACACTTTATAAATGAAAATTTTTGGTGCTTGCTAAACTTGCTGTACTTTATAAATAAAAATTTTTAGTGCTTGGAAAACTGGCGTAGTTAAAGCCGTGTTTTAATGAAAAGATGGCAGTCTTATATAAACAATTATGTAGTTTGTTTAAATATAATTATATTAAAATTTCAAAACCTATTACATTTTCTTTTTGAAAAAATATCTTACTTTATTAAATCAAATTTTTGTTTCAGGGACCTGGGAAGCTTTTATAAACTGGGGGGGGGGGGGGGGAGGGACACTGAAAAGGGCGCATTCCTTTGGTGTACCCCAAAAATAAATGTTGTTTTATATGTTTCTTTGGAGTTATACATATTAAAATTATATATTATTATTTTGTTTTTGTTGAATAGAGAATATATGGGTACTATAGTACATCTTAGATTCTATATAAAATGAGAATACAAATGGCTGATATAACCAGAAATAATTTATAATAGTATAGAATAGTTTAGGTTGTAGGTACATAAAACTGTATACACATGTAGTACTATAGTTCAAGTTCAAAATAAAGACACTAAAATCCGAATAAATATAATATAATAAATACTTCTATTATATAATTATAATATATATAAAGAATAAAATCATTATTAGAAATTTTTTGCTTTAATATTTATATATATAGGAATTTTATATTACCTAAGAACAATTAATTAAAATTTGATTATTCAATTCAACAAAACTTCAACAAAACTTCAAAAACTTACGTTTAAAATCTTCTCGTTTTTATTCAAATTTGAAACAGCGCACTTTTTAAATGGATTATTTCCGTATTCGAAAATGAATCGAATAATTTTTACTTTTGTGTGCATGTGTGGTTTTTTCAGATAATCGGCTCTTTGGCGCTATCAAAACAACGTTACTTATCGGTAAATATCTTGTTAATCAATTGTTAAAAAATTTAACCAAGACAAGAAGACCAAAAAAAAAGTTGATACAAAAATGTATATATATATTTTTAAATAGATTTATTTTAAACAATTTTTTTTTTTTAATTTTCAAAAAAAAAAATTTTTTTCAGGGGTAAAGGCACAACTAAAAGGGCGCCATGATTGTCATCATTTTTTTCTCGGGAAACTCTGGCCCACCCGGGCCCCCCGGTTCCAAGGCCATGTATTTGTATCAATAAAATTCAAATATTTGGACAGACTTAATGGCTAGACAAGAGCCAGTGGGTTGCCGGCACCTAGATTAAACAAACCGTCTTTTATGTTGTTAGAAAAAACCTTGTATGAAACATAAAATGTAGAAGAAGTACTTTATTAGCTGAACATATTTACAGAAGCAAGTAAATTCTATCTATACTGATCAAAAAATATATATTGTGAAGTTATAAGTTTTTATATATGTTGAAAGATCTTTTATTATTATATAATTAAACTGCGAAATAAATTGTTTTGCATAATTAAGAATAGAGTTCTTACTTCTAAATAAGTTGTTATTTTGTGAGTATCAACAACAGTTATCTAAAAAAGTTATTGGCCACTTGAGAATTTTTGTATTAATAAATTTTATTAATGACTCTTTTTGATTCCCAAATCGAAAATTTATGTTACGCTTGTGTATTTATAGTTTGCGTACATCGTGTGTATTGTAATTGCATTTTTTTTAAAGTAACGACGGAGTTAAAAATGTCTTCATTTAATCTATATAATTTTTCTGTTAATACATCAAACAAAGTTGCCGCAAGCAAAAGACGCCGCTACAGTGTCGTACAGCGAGACTATCATAACGAGTTAGAGCGTCGTCGTCGTCAACTAATATCTTCGAAATTTATGCTACTGCAAAATGCACTACCAGAAAATGCATTTCCAGTTAAAACCAATTTGGAAAAGGTTTCCCGATGCTCAATACTAAATGCTGCTTGTCGTTATATGAGCAGCATGGAGTCAAAAAAACACGCTATTTCAAGGGATATTCATGTACTTAAAAAGGAAAACAATATTCTAAAGAAGAAAATTGAAAGTCTTGAAAAAAGAAGTGAACTTTCTCAAGGCGATGTTTACTTGTTGTTAAATGGAGACGAAACAAAGCAAACAGACAATATTTAGACAAACTTGAACAAAAATTTGAATTGAATTTAGAGCAAAATGAATTTAGAGTTTAAATATATTATTCGTTTTACTTTTTTATTCAGTTGTATATTGTCGTAAAATATCGCACTATTTTTGCACTTAAGGTAGGACCATTGTCTCGATTTTTACGTTTAAAAATGCTATAATATATATATATATATATATATATATATATATATATATATATATATATATATATATATATATATATATATATATATATATATATATATATAATACTAATATTAGTCATTTAGTACTTATAATGACTTTAAATATTAGATGTAATTATTTTTTGAACAATTAATTTGAAACGCATATTTGTGTGTACATAGCAAAAATAATTATTATGTACTTAACTGTACAGTAACTGAAAAAATATGACATGGTCTCAAGTGAAAAAAAATAATTTTTTTTAAAAAGTATGCAATAAACTTCTTTAATAGGGTGAAGAGAATGTTTAGCATTAAATACCGCTCTGCTTAAATTTTTAATTTGCTGCGATCTAACTTAATTTTCAGTCATTTTTATTTGCTTTTTTTTTTTCCTTTTTTTTTTTTTTGTTATTTTAAATTTGAATTATGGTTAAGAAAAAAAATTGTCTTATTCTTTGATTGTACAGCAGTTTTTTCATTTCTCATCTTATACTTCTTTTTTCTTTTTCAAAGTTTTTTACTAAACTGCGTTTACAGCTTTGTTTTGCTCTTTTTTATTTTTTTTTTTTTTTTGGGGGGGGGGGGGTATAAAGTTATTAAAGATAATAAAAAATGACTATAAACATAATATTTGTTTTATGATACATTGTTATTTAATTGTTCTAAAAGACTTCTTTCAACTAAATTGACGGGTACCATTAAAAGACACCTAAAGCTTATTGTTGTCAATATTTTAAGTTTTTGCTTTTTTTTTATTAAGTCAAAGAAGCTGTTTAAATTTACACAGTTTGTTGGCAAATGTCGACTAGGCAGTCGACAATGTTTAAAAAATAAGGAACTCTCTCTCTCTCTCTCTCTCTCTCTATATATATATATATATATATATATATATATATATATATATATATATATATAATATATATATATATATATATATATATATATATATATATATCGTACCTTTAAACACTTTTTACTCTTTTTATTATAAATCCAAAAAAAAATTATTTTAACAACTTTTTTTGTTCCGAACAGTTAAACTTATTATTAAGGAAAAAAATTGCCTATTTGTATAAATTGTAAGTTAAAAATTAAGTCAGTATTCTCGTTCTAGCAAGGTGCGCGAAAATGTTCAAATCTGCCCCAACCTGGGGCAGCTTTGAATTTGCATGGGGTAGATTTGAATTTTTTCTGGCAAATGGAAAAAACTAGTGACTAGTTTACTTTTTTTAAATAAAGCATTGGTTTATTATTAAACTTCATTAAGTTTAAGTTTCAAAAAGCAAGAATCAAATATATTTTCTATACTATCTAATCTTATAATCACTCTAAAGAGTTGGTCAAACAAAAAATATATTTTATCGGGAAACTTTCAAATATTAGGAGAATTTAAGTTTCATTAGAAATCGTGTCCACCCTGTAGTAACAATTGAAAAGGGTTATGTAAAAATTTTACAGCATCCACTGATCTAAATGAAAATTTAATACTTTATGATGGAACCTAAAGTTTTATGGCTTTCAGCAATAATCATCCATATTATTTAAAAATATAAAATAAAAATTGTTATAAAAAATACAAGTTTAGCGTCGCAACGGCATCTGACGTCAAATATACCAGATCCGATATTTGCTAATCGCCAGAATCAAAGTGAGATAACAAAATTTTTTCCCTATGTCTACATGTTAAAGCCAATTAAATTTTTTTTGTTCAGTAGTGATCCACTATCAAAAGTCAAAATAAAATACTTTTCACAAATACAAAGGTTACACTTTTTTGTAGATGGGTTGTTAATTCACCTCCCCACGGCTGAAAAGGTTAACACAGTCGAAGAGGCAACTATAGTTGTGTGTTTACAATCATCTTTCAACTCTATGGTACAGAAACACGAACCTTGACAAATAAATATTACTCAACATTACTTCTCACTCCCATTCCAAAAATTTCTATTACATTTAATAACGAAGGTGAATTTTCAACGCCTAAGCAGTTAATAAAAAATATTGTACAGAAATTATAAAGCTAGAATTATGCCTCTTGATACAGCAAGTTGAATTCATTTGTTTAAATTATCGCTGTTTAAATTATCGCTGTTAATATTTTTGACACAATTTTTATCAATTTTAAGAATGCTTGCTTAATAATGAAAGAGAAAATTGAAAAGATAAATTTTGTAAAACATCTCAAAAACTGCGTATCACATGACAAAACATCTAATGGATGAATATTAGCGAATTAGAATGTCAACACAATGCGCAACAAAAGATTGCTTAAAAGCTATTGAGTAAGATACACGGGCACTTTTTATATTTTTGACCAAAAAAGTAAAAAATAAATTTTTGCTATTTTTCTCCTGTATGCTTTTAAACTTATTTATCTGCCAACACTTAAGTGTGATATTTTACCAATTTATCGAACTTTTGATTAAATTTAATTGTTTTTTCTTAAGTCTTCCAGTTTTTTTAAAACCTAACAAATCCGTCACCTTGTCTAGTAGGGGTAAGTTGAGCAGCACTGAGAAAAATAAATAAAACTGAACTTTCAAACACAAAGAAACAACTTTGATATGAAATAATAGAGCGGTACATTATATATATATATATATATATATATATATATATATATATATATATATATATATATATATATATATATATATATATATATATATATAAATATATATATATATATATATATATATATATATATATATATATATATATATATATATATATACACATATATTTAGACTTAGTAATTTTTAAATTGGGCTTTAAAGTTTAAGATAGTTGTATAAAAATATATTTTTATAATTTATGATTATAAAAATATATTTTTATACAACTTATACTTTCTTACTATTTAGTTTTTTTTCTTTTTTACTTATTAAAATGTATAAAATATTAAAATGTATCAAAAACTAAACTTTATTCTTAAAAAATTTTTAGCAGGATAAATTATTTTTCAAGTATTGAAAAAATTATGTAAATCTGACATGAGATCTGTTAGATTTAGCAAACATTGTTCAACTAGCCCCGCTCTACCCTATAGTATAGTATAGTAAAAAACAATTACACTGCTTTTGCACCGAGGCCTTTTTTTTTTTTTTTGAAACATGCGTTTATTATTGAAATGTTGCGTAAGTGTAAATAAAAATACAAATAAAGTTTAATTTGAGAATTAAAAAATAAAAAAAGGCCCGTACCGTGTAAATTTAAGGAAAGGAGGAGGGGGCCTTTTAAAAAAAAAAAACAAAACAAAAGGCAGTTTAGAATAGCAAATATTAATCGTGCTCAATTTTTATAATAAATCTTGCGTGAAACAAGGAGAATTTGGTAAAAAAAGGGGTCGATCGCACCCGACGACATGGGCATGTTTTTCACAACCCCCCTTTCTTGCATTTTATGTGATAAGACAAAAAAATCTGCTCACTAGTTTAAACATAAAAATTTGTTTAACATTGATGCCATAAATCTCAAGCGTCATAATCAGTCAATAAAATTTAACTGATAACAAGCGAAAGAAAATTGAAAATAAGATTTGGCGCTTAAAAAGTTAAGTAGTAGTCAAGCGTCTTTTTAAAAATTTGTAGATTTTAAGGTACAAAAATTCCGTTCTACGCAAACCTTTACTAACCTTTTTGTGAAGACGTAAAATTTTATAATTTTGATATAGTTTATATAGAAGATAAATAAAAACAAATTTCAAGTGATTACAAAGCCTTGATTAGGATCGAATTTAAAAGAAAATTTTTCGCTACTATTTAAAAAGCCAATCGAAAAATTGAAAGTTATTTTGTTTGATATTTTCAATTTTACGTTATGCTCCGCTGGGGGTAATATCCAGGCGCTTTTTTGTAACTGGAATCTGATTGGTGATGGTGCTTAAGAAGGAGCATGATAAAGAATGGAATAACTTGGTCCGTACTAAGATGGAGTACCAAAATGAATACAATCGTAAAGATTGAAGGTAAAAAAATTTTCGGATTGACCATTTTAGTTATCAGGAAAATCTTTAAAACTAATTTTGTTTGCACAAATATATTTATAAAATCTAATGATGCTGTTTATTTAATTTATAAATATCTTTATTATCGAAAGAGAAGCAAGAGATTTGATATCTGTAAATATATCTCGTTATATATTGAAATGTATTGTTAATTGATATAAAGTGTGCATTTTTTTGCTCTATGTATATTTTTTTGTTTCATCTGGTTATAAGATATAATTTAGTTTAAAAATAAACGTTCCGTAACAAATTTATTTTATTAATAATTTTATTTGCGTTTTAATAGTTATAGTTTTTATACATACTTATGGTAATATTTTTTTTTTTTTTTTTATAACAATTTGTTTTTAATTTTATTTTTTAATATTATATTTTTAAATATTATATTTCCGAATAAAAACTGGAGTTGTTAGTTTAATATTTTTCATGTTAGCATCTATGTGCACTTTTGAGGTCATTAAAGTTGCACAGATGCAATTTCCTACTTTTATTTTATTTCATGTTTTTCAAAGCTTTTTATTTCACATTCAAATTTTTGAATAAACTGAGAGTACTATTTAGTCAACAGTAGTTACTCTAAAACTTCATTTCAAGTAACATTTTTTATCGCTTATGCCTGAGTTTTAAGCAGTAGAAAATAATACTTGTGTCCTTTTCTGTACAACTTACAGATATTGCTGGTGTACATTACTAAAACTGGTGTTTTAGTAATGTACTAATAATAGTGCATTATTAAAAGTGATGTACAGAAAAAGGTATTTTATTAAATCTAGTATGGTATGGGATTTTGTTTATGAATTTCTTGAATTTTTTGTTTCTTTTTTTGTTTTTTTTGACAGGTTTTTTGATGATAATGTTTATCAGATTATATATTAATAAATTTTCATTTACATTTTTCTGCCATTAAAAATCTTTATAAATATTTTAGGTATTCAATACTACTATATATATGGTCATATATTCAATTGGTCCATTTTATTTAAGAGTTAAAAGATGAACGCGATTGGTTTGATTTTTTTCATAGTTGATAAAGTTCCTACATATTTACATTAAAGAAGATTTATCAAGTATTCATGTTTTTATAATAATAAGTATAGTGGTATATAGCTATGAGATAATTTAAATAATTTTTTATATAATGCTAAATATAAATAATGTAATGTAGTAATTAAATATAAAAAATAGTTAGCAGATTTTCAGAATAGATACTAAAAGATTTAGTATTATATTTAAAATGTCTTGTACCTTAATATATAAGAAATATGTTAATATGTGTTAAGTTCAACAAATAATGATTTATTTATCATTAGTCATAATTTATATTTAGAGTTTTTAACATGAATCCCAATAACTACATGAGTTTCTATAATCCAAATGGCGGGAGTCAAGATATTGGAAGCAATTATCAAAATTCAACAGATTTTGGACTACCTAGTGGTGGCAGCTTTCTAGATATGATAAATAGTCCTTCTCCGCATCTTATTCCCAATCCACAAAATCCAAATAGATTTAATCCATACTCAAATCAACAATATCCATATTCACAATATGCAATGGAAAATTCTGCTGCTCGATTACAACAGTTTGCTAGACAAATGGTTCCTCGCCCTTCAAATATGTATGTCATGCCTGGTCAAAATTCTATGTCGGATCCTATTGCTTTTAACATGGAGCATATGGCACAAATGAGAATGAAGCAAATGGATTTCAATTCTCATCCACGGTATCGTACTCAGCTTCAGTCTTGGCCTCGAATGCCTCATAGTATGCCAATACTTCAGCAACAGGAGTCCCATCAAACTTCAATGGATGTTATGCAGCAACACAACTCTTCAATTACTCCAGATTCTTTGCAATTATCAAATATGCAGTCTCACAGAAATAATTTTCGGAAAATGCCTGTTTTAGAAGAGGCACCTATAACACATAGAGGATTATCTTCTCAATCATTTAACTTTATTGGACAGAACTTTTCAGATAGTTCTCCAGGTTCAACATTATCTCCATCATATTCTCAAAATAAACCCACAGCAACGAACATAAGTTCTGTCGAGTCTTTAAATCTTCCAAATATAGATTTCAACTCTAGTCAACAGCAACTTCACCAATCAACACAGCAGCAACTTCAACAGCAGGGTGGTTTATCAAGTTTTATGGAAAAATTTTCTGCTGAACATAATATTTCTCCAAATATACCATTATCTCCGAAACTCACTCATTTTGGTCCTTCTTCTGTTACAACTTTTGATCAAGTTCAAACAACTAATGCTAACCAGAAATTAACTTCAAGTATAGTGCAAACTCCTCCTTATGGGCCACACACTCCTAATCCAACCATAACTGGATCTCCAGCAGCTCCTATTAAATATGCTCCAGTGCAAAATTTCCCTATGTCACCATCTTTTTCATTAACATCAAACCAACAAAACAATCAAATGAATTTTCGTAACTATTTTTTGGGCATGCAACAACTTCAACAACAAATCAATCAACTTAAACAAGGTCCTCAAACACAACAGGTTTTAATGCAAATACAAATGTATAGTCAACAATATCAAAATATATTTAGACAATATGAGATAGCAAAGCAGCAATCAGAAAATTCATATAACCAACAGCAAGTGTCACCTATTATGCAAACCTCCAATCAAAAGACACTGAAAAATAGTCAACATGAAGTTTCTCACCAACAACAACAGTCATTGACTCAATCTTCAGACATTCCGTCACAGAGTTTTTTAGAAGAAATCAGCGATGGATTAGATTTACCAGACTTAGGAGAATATGATAACAAAGATTCTTTTTTAAGTGAAAATTCAAAAACAGAAAGTATGTTCCCAAGTGGTTTTATTGAAACTTCAGAAATTTTTGGTGGAGGTCCCATGTATGCTGAAACTCCTAAAATTGAAAATAAAGAGAATGCAGAACATATAAATAGTATTGCTAGACCTTCAAATTTTAATATGGATGGAAATGAAAAACCAAAGGAAAATCATCCAATAGAGCCTCAAATATGGCAGAGTCCAAGACCTCAATCATCACAGATGTTTCAAATGTTTCAACCATTAAGACCTAATGTCAATGTTAGAGAAGGATTTCTTCCATTTCCTTTCCAGCAGTATGGAATGCAGCAACAGCTCCCGTTTATGCAAAACATGTCGATTTCTGAGTTAATGTCCAAGTCAGCTATGCCTACAAACTTTTCAATGCCAAATTCAGTTAGAAATATGAACAATTACAATAATTTTGGATCTGCTCCTCTTCAACCTTCTTTTCCTGATGCATCAAAACCAAAAGGTGGAAAAGGAAAGAGGGGAGGAAAAGTGCCAAAAGGACCAAGTAAACCAAAAATTGGGCGGTATGTACTTTCTTTTTTTAAAACAAATTTAAACTTCTATTATAGACCACTTTTGTTATTGTAATTACCCATATTAAAGCAATCATGCTTAACTTGTATTTAGAGTCCTCATACTTGTTAAATATCATTAACATTTTTCAGGATTGACAAAATTGTAAGCTGTAAAAAAGTTTCAAAAAAAAAAAAAAAAAAAAAGCAAAACTATTAAAATAAATTTAAATAATTTTTGTACTGTTTTTATTTTTGTTTTTTAGGAGTGTTATTTTCAGCAACAAAATTAGATAAGGAAAAAAAAATAGTCAATGATAAAGATAATAAAGCTAAGAAAAGAAAGAAAGCTAAGAATTGAAAGAAAGAAAAGCAAAAGAATGATATTTCTTTGTTTTATTTGTTTTTTAAAAGAAGAAAGCAAAAATATAAATTGCAATCTGCTTCTAAAATATATTTGTATAATTTTAATGTATTAAGTATAATTGTCCCTAAATGAAAATGTCTATGTAATGCATGCGTATACTTTTATATATACCTTTTTGTATTATATAATGATATTTATTTGTTATGAAGTATACGCATTTTAGCTTATTTGGATAAGGCTGAAAAGCTTGAATGGTATAAGAAATCTGAATGTGATAAGATGTGTATCATTCAAAAACATGCCACAAAAAGTTTTTTTTTTATACAAATAAGAAAAGATAAATAGTTACAAAGCAAACATATGACCAACAGGATTTCAAAGAAAAACAAAAAAGTTTGACAGTTGCAGGAATTGAACCTCGGACGTTCCGTGTATGAAGTTAATGCCTTATTCAAATAAGCTAAATATACCTATACTTCGTTACAAATAAATATTATTATATAAAACAATAAGTTATACATACGTATACGAATGCATTACATAGTCAAATTCTTATAGAGACAATATATACTTAAAACATTAAAATTATGCAAATATAAAAAACACTTAATATAATAAAACTTGCAAATGGCCATGACCAAGTTGTCTAAAGTAAAATACTCATGCATGGGCATACAAGACAAAAAATCACACAAGTTTATTATTAGTTAGTTAAAAATAATGTTGTTAATTCTTGCCCATAGCTATTGAAACTGAATACTTAATATTAAGAAAATAATCGTTTGTGAAATACTGCTATAAAGGTTACTAATGTATGTATAACAAAATTTTCTCTATATATATATATTTTTAAGAATCTTATAGAAAAAAAAAATTTATTCATTGCAATGATTTTGTCTTTGCCAAATCATTGCAATGAATATATTATTTTTAAAAAATTTAAAATTATCAATAGCGCGTTTGCACTTTAAACTTAAATGAAGCATATATTTGCAATAATATTGCTTCTCTTTCTCTTTTCCATTTTTTCCCCCCAAGCCTTTGGAATTCGCTTTTTTCATCTTGTTTTTTTAATTCTTGTAGTTTTTTATATTTTAATTATTTTAATATTTTAATTTCTGTCGATCGTTATCTTGTTCTATGGGCTTCATCTTTTTTCTTCAAGTAACTTCCAACTCTAATAGTGGTTGTTGGAAGTGAATATGTTTAAAAAAAAAAATTTTGTAAAAACTTTGTTTTATGTACATAAGTAACTGTTATTGTAGCATTTCACAAAACGATTTCATTTATTATTAAATATTCATTTAAAACTTTTAAATGCAGGCTTGCGATAAAGCGTCGTGCAATGTGAATTTTACGTCGTCCAAGAGCAATTTTGCGTGTAGCTAGGGCTATTTGCGTCGAGCAAAATATTTTTTGTTTGAGTATATTTAAAGATATTTTTTAGCGGAATTTTAATGAAGTAATTTACGATTATTTTAAGATTTAATAAAGTATTTTAAAAACCGCACGCAGTTGATTTAAAAGTTTGAATTACAAAAAAAATAAATATGCTCATTATTTACAAGTAGAAAAAATTCATGTTCATGTATAACAACATATTAATGTACTTAATTATTTACTATCTATATATATGAACTAAATATATTTTTTTAAATAATATGCACAAAAGTTTGAACTTTGTATAGTTTTTATTCACTATCCAATCACTACACTAATTTTTAATTACAAAACTAAATAAAGTATAAGACATTATTAAATTGGGTGTCACCCAAAAGTGGATGACACCCGGGGCGGTGAGCCCCCACCCTTGTCCCCAGTAGGTACGCCACTAAAGTTGGTAAGCGCAAATAAAAAAAAAAAAAAAGGATTAATATTAAAACGTATTCTACTTGATTCAATAAAATAGAACAGTTATTAAAATTTTTGTAAAAAGTAAATTTAAAAAAATTACTTAAATAATAACAATCGCTTTTTTGTTAAAAGTTACTTAACGAAGCGTGCTCAATTCTAACATTTTATTTTAGAAGTTCTAAAATGTTAGAATTGTTACTAGAAATGAAATGTTAAAAAAGTTCCTTGTAAACATTAAAAATCTATTCAAAACGTTCGTTAAAGTTTTTTAGTAAAACAAGTGATTGTGCTTATCAACCGCTTTATGAAAATAAATAAAAATAATTAAAAAAATATTATATAAAATTAGTGGTAAAAATATTAGCTATTGCACAGTTTTTAATCGTACAAGATTAAATCTTCCAGTTTATTACTCGCTGACTTTTTAAAAAGAAAAAATAATTGTTTGAAAAACTTTAAAAAACATATTTGAGAAAGAAAAAAAATCAAATATTAGCATATTTTATAATCTTTTTTAAATGATTAGTTATGTTTTTTATTCGATAAGTATAGACAAAGCGTGTCAAACGTCAAGAAAATAAACGTAAAAGCAAAACATTCCAAAACATTTTTAAATAATAACATTTCTACATTGATGATTTAAAGTAGTTTTGCGGTAATTAAGTAAATTGGTGCAGTTAATGTCGATAAATATGAAAAGCAAATAAAAAGTATTTAATGACGTCAAAAATCACGTCGAGCTTATGCGTCGCGCAGTTTTTATTCATCACAAGGCCTGAAATATAATATAAAAATTGTTTTATATTTGAAAAAAAAATCAAAGTTAAATGACTTAGATGGTATTATACTTCCTTTTTTAATTGAATCTGTGCGCGCGAGAATCATTTTAAACTATTAATATTAGCTGTGTTTTTTTTTAATTTGAATGTTAGTTATTTGTGTTTCCATTTAAAAATATATTGATTTTATTTAAAATTATTGTTTCGAAAGGAACACAAACTCGTTAGTTTTGGAGTATTATTCGTTATTTTTGTATATGTAAAACTCAGTTATGAAGAACTAAGATATAAAAATAAAATATAAAAATCTTAACTGTCCAAAAAAAAATTGACTGTCAATACCGTGTGTTAGCCGGTCAAATTGACTGCTCGCCTTCAATTTCCTTTTTTCCACACACTCTCTCTATATACATATGTATATATATGTATATATATGTACATATATTTATATATATATATATGTATATATATGTATATATATATATATATATATATATATATATATATATATATATATATATATATATATATATATATATATATATATATATATATATCAGGCCTTGTTTTAAATAAAAAAGGTTTTAATTCATTGAGGGAGTTTAGACACCCTCGCTATTAAATATATTTATGCTGATAACATTATCAAGTAAATTTACTCTTGATAACTATATAAGCTCCCTTGAAATATCTTGAAAAATTCGCGGGGTAAAGCATAAGTGGCGATGAGTTATAAATGCTGATCCTCATCGAAACGCCAGTAATAATAGACGCGACTCTGAGGAGATGTTTATTACTTAATCACTACACTAATTATGTTTACACATTAGCATTAATGTTTTTTTTTCCATTATTAGTCCTTTCATTGTTGTTAGCATATTTTTAGTTTGTTGAATGGTTTTTTGTTTTACAAATTTTTGACTGGTTATGTATTTCTTGTATATTTTAGTTCATATTGGTATTTATAAAACATTTTTTTTTATTTTTATATATATTTTTTTATTATTTGTTTTTATTTTTCTTATTTTTTTTTTATTGTTATTATTGTTGAGTACTGTTTTGGTTGTATAGCCTGTCTTATTTATTTTTAAATATTCCTCTATTTATCTTTATTTTTGTCTTGACAACTGTCAAAATATGCTTTGTCTAATAAATAATTCTCCTTTATTCTAATGTACTTCATTTCTTCCCTCAGGCGTTCACTGCTCGTGTGTGACCATTCGGCGAATTTTATATGCCAAAGTTTTTTAAATAAATCTTGAAAAATTAATAATAGAGTTATATCTATAAAAGAAGTTTTTTATTTAATTTAAAAAAAATAAACTTAAAAATAAAAAAAGTAAATTGAAAAAAAACAACAAAAAAGGCGCTAATATAAAATAAAATTTAATGTATACTTTAGCCAGGGTTGACATTAAAAAACCCGCCCAATAAAACCCAAGAAAACCCGCCTAAAAAAACCCAATAAAACCCTGGAAAATCTGGGTTTTATTGGGTTTTTTTAAAGATATTTATCAAATTAATGAACTATTATAACCAACTTAAACATTATAACTATAATATTATTAACTAAAATAATTATTAACAATTATTATTAACTAAATTATTATTAACTATTATTATTAACTACTATAACCAACAATAACAGCTATCAGAGCAGGTTTACTATTATTTGAATCATTATTTGGAAATACATTATTACAATTTTTGTTCAAATATTTTTATCGATTGAGATTTTTATTACTTTATGTTATTCACCTCCCAAGTTGAATTTAAATGAGTATTAGTGACCAGAGAAGCCAACACAACAGTCAAGGAGGCTACCTTGTTGTGGTTACAATCCTCTTTCAACTCTTACGCGGTAGTGATGTTGTCGTAGAGTGCTCGCTTCATAAGTGAGAGGTTCCGAGTTCGATCCCCACTACGTCCCTGGCAGTACTGCGCTTAACTCCTTTCTCCGCGCAGCGGCCTTGTTCGTCAAGGTTTGTGTTTCGGAGTTATAGAGTTGAGAGAGGGTTATAACCACAAATAAATAGCCTCCTCGCCTGTAGTGGCCTTAAACCTTAAGGAGGTGAATTGATTAAAAAAAAAAACTCTTTAACTCCTAAACAAGTTTGAGGAACAAGTTTGTTCATTTGAATTTCAAGTTCAAAGTTTAATTGAAACTTCAGTTACTACCTCCCATTCTCTAGCCTTCTTTTTCCCATTTTCTCATTGACATTTTTAATTATATAGAATAATATTTTTAAATTTAAAATAAATCAATACATATAGATTAAGCGTGAAATTTTTTTTTCTATAACAGTTTTAAATTATATTTAAAAATCTTTTTCAAAATAATTTGAAGAATTCTTGTTATAAATAATTAAACAACAATATATAAATATGTTTTAAATAAAGTTGAAGTAGAAAATGAAACTAATTTTCAATATCATTAAACAAAAACACAAAAAAAATTTTTACAGGGACAAAATAAAAATTAAACCCAAAAAAACCCAAATTTACCCAAAAAAACCCACTGGGCTGGGTTTTTTTAAAAAAACCCGGGTTTTTGCCAACCCTGACTTTAGCTAATATAATTTATTTTATTTTTATTTATAATTCAGTAATTATTTTTGCTATTGTTATGAGAAATTGTCTAGATTATAAAAAAGTTTTTTAAAATTTAATTTCTTTTATAATTTCTTTTTTTACATGTCTTTTTTTATTATCAATTTTTTTTTCTTTTGCTTAATATTTTTGATGGAAAAGTTAAATTAATAAAAATAAGAATCTCTTTGTTTTTTCTTAACTTATTACATTTTTAAATAGCACTTATATCAAATGTCATTCAAACTTTTTTACATAATCGTCATTCAAATTTCATAAGTAGTTTTTTTTAAGTTATTTACTTCTTTTATCTTACCACCTAAATGATATCTTTAGACTTGTTTAAATATTAAAAATTGTTTGTTTAAATTGTTTAAATATAAAAAGTGACTTGACTGAAATGACTTACCCTTTACATTACATAGGTTAGCACCTATGTAAATAGCTTGCCACTTTTACTTCAAAACAAGGCCTAATATATATATATATATATATATATATATATATATATATATATATATATATATATATATATATATATATATATATATATATATATATGTGTGTGTCTTAGTCAGGAAGGCATGCAATTGCATACTATTATATACCACATTAATATTTTGTTTTTAAAATATGACCACGGCTTTGAATATGTCAATATGGCCATATGTTTTGAAAATTTGAACATTTCAAAAATGTGCTTAAAGAGACTACCAAGTCCTGAGACATGTTGTGTTCATATTAAAGAAAATGTTAAAAATAATTTTTTTTTAATATTTACAAAGTAAATTAATAAAAGTGCATTATTATTTAGGTTAAAAATTATTTTATCTAATATTTTGAAAGAAAAACTTATAATAAAAGAAATTAAAATACATGTGGTCTAGACAATTATTTAAAAAAATTTGCGCAAATAAAAACAAACAAAAAAATCTATGACGTCATGTACTAAAACTTCTATGAATTAAACGCACTTGAATAAATTATCAAGTCTGTATAATGCACCTGGAAAATCGCGTTTATTATACAGACTCCAAATACTGATAAATGGAGAAGACGAGCTTCGAATAAAACAACAAGATTTATTTTTCTTGGTATACATTTATTTAGCTTTAATCAAAAAAAATTTGCTCAGATGTTTTTTTTTTAACATTCTCTTTAATATGAACACAACATAACTTGGTAGTCCCTTTAAAAACTTATATAGACCTAAAAATGAAAAAAAAACTTTATTAAAAAAAAATTTCTTTCTTAACAAACAAAAAAATTTAAAGAACTTACTTAAAACACAAAAAGCATTAATTACCTTTGTAATAATAAATTTTTTATCTTTACTATTGTTTTTTTAATAATATGGCATCTCTTTAGAGAAAAGTAACAATTTCTAATGATTGTTTAATAAATAGTCTTGTTTAATTTAAGTTAAAGTGTTGTTTTTATTTATTTAAAAATAGTAAGCTTCCATAAAAACTAAAGTTGAATCATTCATTCATTCTTAGAATGTAATTCATACTAATTATAACGTAATACACAATGTAGTAGTAGTGATTTGTTGCTTTATTTAAAAATCTTTTCAAAAATATATAAACTTTAGTAAAGATTGAAGTTTTTTAATGCTTAGTTTTTGCGAAGCGAATGCGAAGTTTTTTAAAGACTTAAAAAAACATTTTTTTAAAAAAAAAATTTCGAAAAATCTTTTTAAATGTATTTTAATTATTCTTAATAAAGTTCATTAAAAAGACTATAGTTGTCTAAAATAGTTGTAGTTAATAAAATCGAAATTTGTTTATGTGTTCACCAACATAACTACAAAGTTTAATAAAGTGTAAAGATAGTAGTTGAAACTTCATTTTCACCTTAGTCAAATTTACATATTGTTGGCTATTCTCAACTAATTTGACTTTTATGTTGTAATAAGAACTTATGCAAATAAAAAACAATTTAAGAATGAACTAGAGTTAAGTATAAATAAATAGAAAGCATATAATAGTTTAATATTTTGTTTATCATGTTTGTTGGTTATTAAAAAATTGTTTGTTATCAAAGCTAAATTTTGGTATACATATGTGTCGTATACTTCCATTGTTACAATTTTGCTTCCTGCTTATCTTACAATAAAAATATTTTTTTTATTATTAAAATTATTATATTTTAAATTGATTTGTAATTTTTGAATAGTCCCCAAACTGTGAAAAAGAAGAAGAAAGATAAAAAAGCTGATTTTGAACCAGCTGATTTTGATAATCTTGCTCCTAATGACTTCATCACAGATGATGCAGGGTTTTTGGATCCAGATATGGTTTGTTCTTTGTGATTTAAAAAAAAAACTATAAAAAAAAACCTGATCTCATATAAGATATTTGTTTACGTAACAGTTTAAACACATTTTGAGTTTAAAGCTAGATTTGTTCTATTTAGCGCCGATCTCTAAGAGAGCGCACAAAAAAAAAGAACTATAAAGATGACTTTGATTACAATCTTTCGGATGAAGAAAATAAAGAATCCAAAGGCAGTGAAGTTGATAGTAAAGGTAATGCTTTGGAGCCTGTTATTTCAGGTGGTGCAAATCAGTTATTAGCTTACAGACCAAATCTTGAAGTTGAAGGAGAAATTGCCGTGATAGAAAGAATTTTAGCAATGAGAGTTTCTCAACAAGAGGTCAGTCAAATAAAGTATCTAATACCTTTTCTCAAGTTTTTAATATCAAAATTACCCTTTCTCATTTTTGCAATATAATTTTTTATTTTATTTTTAACTTTTTCAGTCATTACCTATACAAAAATAAAAGTTTTAAAAAAATTAAGAAATCTATCAGCTTTAAGCTAAATTAAGATAAGTGGAATAAATTCCAAATAATAAATGGAATAAATTCCAGATTTTTTTTTGCAAAATGTTTTCCAGATTTTTAAAATGTTACCTGGATAATCATTGGTTTTAATGTAAGAGTTCAATAAGTTATTTTTTAGCTCTTTCAGTGGTTTTGTGTTAAAATTTAAAAAAGTAATTTAAATTTAAAAATAATCCTAAACTAACAGAATTTTATATTCAAGTATGAATGTTTTAAAACCATATACAACAAGTATTCTTGATTAAGACAATGCAGTTTCATATATAAGTTAAAATCAATCAAAGTAGACATTAAAATAAGTTGAAAAAAAAAGGGAAAAATAGCTCTAAATTTCTAAAAAAAAAATAATTGTTTTTTTAAGTATTTAGCTAGTTTAAATTAGCATGTTTTTTTTTCTCAAGTAATTTCTTCAATAATTCAATAATAAATTAATCATTAATTAATTGCATCTTAATTGCTTCATATTTAAATTTCAATATTAAATGTTAAAATTTTCTAATATTAAGACTGTTCAAGATGATTCACAAGAAAAAAGTACTGTTATGGTAGAAGAGTATTTTGTTAAGTATAAAGCTTAGTAAGTATAAATAAATTTATTATGTATAGGTTTTCTTTCTCTCTCTCTCTCTCTCTCTCTCTCTCTCTCTCTCTATATATATATATATATATATATATATATATATATATATATATATATATATATATATATATATATATATATATATATATATATATATATATATATATATATATATATATATATAAATATATATATATATACACACACACACAGACACAGACAAAATTAAGTAACATTATTGATAAAATCGAAACTCGAACAATAAAAACAAAATTATTCAAGTCAGGATCTACGCAACTGCAATAACTTTGTTTTTTTAAAAATTTGATTCCAAAGAAAAAATATATATATTTTTAACTTTTTATAACTCATTGCAAAAGTAACTCTATTAAACGAAATTAGCTATCTTACAACTTTTTTGTCCAAAATAAATGCGACATAAGTAAGAAACATCTTTTTTTATTATGAGTTTTTATTATGAAATATAATGTTTTGTCAGTAATATATATTAAAAATGCAAGAGTATCATGTCTGATTTTCATTTTAGTACTTTGTTGCACCACCTTTTGCTTTCACGACTGCTTCTAAACGTCTTGGCATGCTTTTTACAAGCTTTGACGTGACGTCAGTAACAATTGAATTCCAAGTTTCACTAAGAACCTCAAAAAATTCTTTTTTATTTGTTCATTTTGAAGGAGGTATTTTAGATTTTAAAATTGCCCATAAATTTTCAATGGGGTTAAAGTCCGAACTTTGTGGTGGCCATTTAATGATGTTAACTTTACTTTTTTTAAGGAAATGTTGTGCCACTTTGCTGGCGTGTTTGGGGTCATTGTCTTGTTGAAAAAAGAACTTGCGATCTAAATTCAATTTTTTAGCGGATTGACATAAATGTTTGGAAAGCAAATCAACATACAATTGTTCTGTCATTATACCTTCAACATTCACCAGTCTTCCCACACCATTTGAAGCAAAACATCCCCAAACCATAATTGAGCCACCTCCATGCTTGACAGTTTTTCTAAGATTTCTGTCTAAGAGTGCATCACAAGGTCTGCACCAAACTCTTTGTCGTTTTTTAAAGCCAAATATTTGAAATTTACTCTCATCAGACCATAACACTGAGTTCCAAAATGCCTCATCCTTGTTAATATGCATTTTTTTTTGTTTATACCACTAATGAGGGGTTTACTTTTTTGAAGACGGTTTATTAAACCACTTGAATTAAGTCTTCTCTGTACAGTTCGACTGGAAACATTTAATTTAAGATTTTCAACAATCTGTCTTGAGATTATTGTTGAATTTTGTTTTGCTATTCGCGCAATTAGCATATCAGTTCTTGTTGAAGTCTTAGGGGGGCGACCAAATCTTTTCTGATTTTCAACAGAACCAGATGTTTCAAATTTTATACACATCGTTCTAACACCACTTATCGATATTTGATATTTTTCTGCACATTGCTTGTAGGTTAGGCCCTTTTTTCGATCACAAATGACCCGAGATCGGATGTCCAATGAATAATTTTGATGATGAACCATTATTATTGTTAGTTTTGCTTTTTCTAAAAATAAATTCCGAAAAAATAAAGTTTAAAATGCTTATTTTTAATAAATTTAATAAAATCTCTTTAATAATAATCATTTTTAATAAATAGCTATTGACAAAACATTATATTTCATAATAAAAACTCAAATGTTTCTTACTTTTGTCACATTTATTTTTGAAAAAAAATTTGTGAGCTAATTTTGTTTAATAGATTAACTTTTGCAAGGAATTATAAAAAGTTATAAATGTATTTATTTTTCTTAGGAATCAAATTTTAAAAAAAACATAAAATTATTGCAGTTATGTAGATCTTGACGTAAATAAATTTGTTTGAATTTTTAAATTTATTTAAATACCTTATAGGTGATTTAAATAATCTGTTTCTATTTATATATCTATGTTTGAATTTTGAAAAAAAAAGAAACACCACTGCGTTTCTTATTCAATAAATAAACTTTTCTATAATTACAAGTTTACTTTTTTATGCAGTTCATATTTGCACTGTGAATGGGGAACTGCTGAACAACTTGCGAAAAAAGATAAAAGAGTTCATGCCAAAATTAAGCGATACCAACAAAAGAGAGATAGTACATTAGCTTTTTTAAATGAGGTATTTAATATATTTATTATATGTTTTATTATTTGGCATTTAATTTTTGAATTAATATTTGGAACTTAATATTTGGAATTTAACTGGATTAATATTTGGAACTTAACTGGATTTTTTAATTTAATACTAGGATCTTTGATAACCTATAATTTAATGCAAAATTTGTTAGAAATTTAAATTATACCCGATTCAATTTATCTACTAATATTGTAACAACCTTCACAGCTTACTTCGCTATTAGTCTATTTCTATATTCTATATTCTAATTAGCTATTAATCATGAAAAAGGTTATTTTTAATTTTGTCTGACAAAAATGACAAAATAGTTCAATAACTATTAATTATTTTTTTAAAAGTAATTATTGATTATTTATAAAATCATTAATAAAATAATTATTTTGTCTAATTAAATATTTATTTATTTTATTTATAATAAAATAATTGGATAATTTAGCCCTCCAAATTAGAAAAAATAAGGTTGACAATAATTTGCTGACCTTCATCTGCGTGAGGTCGGCAGAAAAAATGTGAAGCAAATTTTTTTAACTTTTATAGCTTGATGATGAACCTTTCAATCCAGAATATATTGAAATTGATCGTGTCTTAGATATGCAGACAACACAGGATCCAGTCACTAATGAGGTATATTTGAGATTTTATTAATAAAATTTTAATTCTAGAAAAAAATTAATAAGGGTAAACTAATTTATTTATTACCTTGATAATTTTTTTATGAAATTAAATGCAGCTGATAAAGTTTTTTTTTTTTTTTTTTTTTTTTTTTTTTTTTTTTATATACAGATAAACCTAAAATTCTTAATTTATTTTCCCTTTCGTCTTTTTTTTTATGCAAACACATTAATAAATGATCTAAGATTATTTTTTTTTACTTTTGCGTTTTTTTTCTTATTTTGGATGAGAGAAAAAATCTTAAATATTTTGTAACATAGTTATATTTAATCAACAAACTTTGGCTTTATAACTCTTAATTCACTCTTTATCTTACAGCAATAGCTAATAGATTAATTAAGAAAATACTTTTTTAAACAGTTGTAATGAATATATTTTGTTAAATTTAAAGTTTGAAATTTAAAAATATTAAATGAGAATGTCAAGTCCCGAAATCACTCTGATTTTTAATCACTAGTTGTATGTGGTTTCTGGTGTCCAGGAGTTTTAATCACTAGTTGTATGTGGTTTCTAGTGTCCAGGAGTTTTAAAAATGTGGAGTGGCTTATGGATCACATAGAGATAAAATTATAATACATCTATTAATTTTAGCTAGAGTTCTTGAATTCCTTGCCACTATTTTACAAAAAGGTTTCAAGTTCAAAATTGGTTCCTGTACTCTAAATAACTTTATTTCCCTCCCTCCAAAGTAGTCTATAAGTCTCCAAGCATTTTCTTAAAGTTCAAGGGTGCCAGCCTATAGGTAAATTTGGCTCTTGTTATATATAATTGAATTAAAAACAGGTTTTTATAATTTAAAAAACGGTTTTTGAATGTGTCAAGTTTATTATAAAAGCCTGTTTTTAATACCGCTTTTGTAGTCGTCAAACCCTAGCAAGTGCTAATAAAAATATATTAGAAAATTATTCACAATATAAAAGTTTTCAAATCTTTATTTTATATATTTTTAATAGTGTAAAAGTTTTATTTATTTTTATTTAGAAATTCAATCACTATTTAGTGAAATGGAGAGCTCTTCCTTATGAAGAAAGTACTTGGGAGTTACAGGTAGTAAAAAAATTAATAACATTATTGCTCAAGATAAAAATCTCATACGTGTTAGGTATTTTTAAGTACAAGAAAAATATTTACCTTGCACTGATATTTCCTATTTGGTTAATTTTTATTTATAGAAATTTCCTGGATTATATTTAAATATTCTATTCTTTGTTAATATAAATCATTTTTAACAAATTAAAATACTCATAAACAAATGAGAAATCATATATATATATATATATATATATATATATATATATATATATATATATATATATATATATATATATATATATATATATATATATGCTTAAATTATAATTTTTTAGATGAATATTGATGATTCAATAATAAAACAGTTTCATGAGTTAAAAAAGCCTCCTCCACCTGAGTTACGGCATGTAAGTTATTTAAGCTTAATAAATTATTTTTCTTTATAAAAATACAACTATATATAGTAAAGCATGTTTTCCAGCAAGCCGATTTTGTACTATTTATATTTGAAGAAATTTAAGTGTTTTTATTATGTTTATTAAATTAAAGTTTTTAAATTTTAGCTTAGTAAACAAATCATATTTTCTAAAGTACCATTCCAGATAATGATATATATCTGAATAACTAAAAATACAACAAAAGTATTGCAAAATAGTTATGTATGTATGTTAAAAAATGCATGATAATTTACCAGATCGGAATACAAATGTTGTATTTGGCAAAAATGAATTGCAATGTATGTGCAAATCATCTATTTTCTATATACTAATAAAAAATCAATAAAATAAAATTGAAAAAATACCTGATAGTTTTTTTAATTTTTTAATCAATTTAGTTTATTTATTGTATGTGAACTTTTTGTCACAAAGTATGTGTGATTTGCTGTAATAAGCGCAACTAATGGGAGCAATTGTTGTTAATTCATATTATCTAATTGTATTACGTAAATTACTTATTTTTTTTTTTGATGTTGAATTCTTAGTTATGATGTTTGTAAATGAAAAGTTAATTAAAGTGAAATGATACTTAACACATTAGTAAAACATTAGTGTCCAATAGTAAAATATAATTATTATTTGTAATCAGAAAAATTACACATTTACAAAAATTACACAGTTACACATTAATACAGTTTTTTAAAGATATGTGAAAAGTATGAATTATTTGTATTTAATGGTTTTTGATATCAATAATCCAACACCAATGGTATTGGAGTCTAACAGTGATACCTTATTTGAATTTAAATTTGCTTCTAGTATTTTATATTTCCAAAAAGTGCTTTTAGCCACAAACTAATCATGAAAAGCAACTACCTTTTCATATCAAATTTAAACTAACTTTCTTTCAGGTCCAATATATAGAGAGAGATTGGTAAAAGGTAACTCTCAAAGAGAGAATTATGGGAAAGTTAAAGTTCTAAAAGAATTTCCTGCATTAAAAAATGATTCAATATGTTTTTTACCCTCAGATAAAAAAAATCAAACCAATCAAATATTTTTTTGGCAATGATAAATTGAATTTTATAATACTCTTTTAGAGTCAAAGTCTGAATAAATAAAACTTTATCAACGTTTTAAAAAATACTTTGTGTTGTGATATTGTTACTAATATATTTTTTATATTTATTTATTGTAAAAATGTTACAAGTATAGAAATTATTCTTATTTTTTATAAGATTTAAATTTTTTGCCCTTTTTACTGATAAATTGAATGCTCAATGAAAAATGTATGTTTTCATTTTAGAGCATTTTATTCCTCAATTATTGAATAATAAAATGGCTAATGTGAATTAAGTATAATGTTCGTGATGAAGGGATGGAAAATCTACAATTCTATATCTGTAATTTGAAAAATAATTCATTTTTAAGGCGATGAGTTTTTTAAATTCTTTTCTGATTTAAATTAAAAGGAAAAATAAAGGCGGCAAAGATCATTTGTAATTATAAATCATACTTAGTCGCAATCAGTAAATATATCATATTTACTAGTTATCTAAATCTAATTAGTTGTATCTAATCAATCTAATTAATTGCAATAATTTTATTCTGACAATCAAAATTCTTAATACATTTGTCATGTTTGAAAAGCAATCGTCTTAATTATAGGGATGGTTTTTAATTTTCAACTATTTAAGCTAAAACCTATTATTTTAGTCAACGTTTTTTTAACAGTTTTTTAAATTTTAACTTGAAAATAAATTTACTCAAAGAGTTATTGTAGTTAAACTTGTTTATAAACTCTTTATATAAATACATTGAGAAAATGACAATATAAATGTCTTTTCTCAATCTCAACGTAAACAATTTGTATTCCATACTGTCAATTGATGAATGAAATATATGCTTTTGTTAAACAAATTATTGCCCATTTAACAAAGCATTAATTTTTTTCAGGAAGAAAAAAAAAATGATTATATTTTTTTCTAAGATTTTGTTCAACATCATTATTGTTTAATTTTTTAAACCTCATTAGAATTCATTTTGTGCAATGAAAAAAATTATTGCTAAATATCTATTCCAAATCTATAAAATTAGTTTTTAATTTTAAAATTAGTTTTTAATTTTAAATGAATGTTCATATCTTGTAAATTTTGTTTGCATGTGAGTATGCATAGGTGCTTTTTGTGCAATTATTTCTTCATAAAATTAAAAAAAAAATCTTTTAAATTTTTTAACTATAAAATTTTTATTTCAAATATAAATTCAGTTATAGTTATATTAAATTAATATTATTATCCAGTTTGTTAATCGACCCATTGATGTAGAGTGGAAGCCATATACAGTATCACCAGTTTATAAAAATGGAAATAAACTTCATGATTATCAGTTGGAGGGGTTAAATTGGCTCACTTTCTGTTGGTACAAAAGGTTTGGTATTTTAACTTTAGTTTATTAATATGGTTTTATGTAAATCTATTTAATTTTATGTTAAATAAATTTATTAGTAAGTAGCATAATGTCCTTATAAAGTAATTAAAATTCAAATTCAAATTCTGAAAAAAGATATTAAATAAAAATGTTTTTTTGTTTTGTTCAAAATATGTTTAAATCTAAGAAGTGGATGAAAGAAGATATAAAAAGAGTAGGCATTAATGCTGTTTATGGCTATATAGTTTGCAATTAAACCATATGCAATTTGAAGACAATAAAAATACATATAATTTGAAGACAATAAAAATACATAACAATCAGACATACCAGTTTTGAAGTTCTCATAAATTCACAAAATTTAAAGTTGAGAGACAATTTAGTAAACAACTTATTTCTTCAACTTAAAAAATCATTTACAAATATATACACCTTTATGATTTTTTATTAGTTATTGTTAAAATTTTCTAAAACTTAGTAAGTTTAGATCAGTAAAAAAGGTGTACATATTTTAATTTTAATGTATTAAAAAGTTTACAGGCAGCTTTATTAATTTAATTTAACATTTATATATATATATATATATATATATATATATATATATATATATATATATATATATATATATATATATATATATATATATATATATATATATATATAATGTTTAGAATAAATTGTATCCTGGCAGATGAGATGGGTTTAGGAAAAACAATTCAGAGCATTTCATTGTTATGTGCAATAAAGGTAAAGTTTTTTAAAATAAAAGTAATAATTTAGTTAATGTTTTGTTTGTCAAGTTATTTTAAAGCATTTAGTAATATTTAGCAATATGGCATTCGTGGCCCTTTTCTTGTTATTGCACCTTTATCAACAATAGTCAATTGGCAGCGTGAATTTGAAGAGTGGACAGACATAAATGCTATTGTATATCATGGAAGCGCACAAAGTCGTCTACATATTCAACAGTATGAAATGCGTTATAAGGATGAAAATGTTTGTAATTTTTTTTTGCTAATTTTTTTGTTTATCTTACTCATACTTATTATTTAATAATAATATTGGTAATAATAATAAGTATTGCAATAAATAAAAGTAGTGCATTTTATTGCAGCCTCCAGAATCCAGGTCAGCAATGCTGATGCAATAAAAAATCTTTGCTTTACTATGGTATAAAACTGCTGACCTGAATCTCCAAGTGTCTGTATACAAATTTTCAAGCAAATGAGCGTAGCCTGAGTAAATACTTACACATCAATTCAAATATTAAGTGCTTGACTGAATCTTGTTTTTTTTGCTTGCTGGAAAATTACATTTGTGGTTAAATTCTGAAAAACTCTAGAGAACTCTCTGATCCCTTGTTGTCTAATTTATGTCCTTCCTGTTGTCTAATTAATGTCCTTCCCTAAGGGGGTAGATTTTAAATAGTTGATGATTTTCTATTGAAAAATCTAAAAATGTCTGAAAATTCTTATATCAGTGTCCCCAAACAATGTTTCAAGCCTTCCCGGGAAGCTTGTGCAATCACATGCCTTTTTTGTCCACATTGAAAGTAATTTTTTAAATTTAAACTATTAATTAAAACTATAAGAAACTACAGTGAATAAAACAAGAATACTTGAAGAAAGAAACTGAATAATATACGAAATAAAAAATCTACATAAAATTTACTAAAAAAAATTGAAAAGTAAAAAAAGAAAAATTTTAATCACAAAAATAATATACCTAAATAATTTTCTGTTTTTGTTTTCGAGAAAGGAAGCAGTTAAGAATATAATAAAATTTTTTGATACAAAATTTATTTGCAACTTGTCAGTCAGTATATTTAGGAAACACTTTATTATTTGCGCTAGAAATACGGATAATTTTGAAATTTGTTTTTCACATGTTTTTGCTAAACTGTTTTTTATCAATGCACAGGAAAGCGAGAAAAGTAATTGCTATTCATTTGTAATTTTTTTTTTAACAAGTTTTTCATGTAAAAAAAATAAAGTCATTAATACTAATATTAAAATACAAAATAATTGGTTGTTTTTTACTACCCCAATTGAAATAGTCTGCACTTTCGTTGAATTCTCCAAATTGTGCATTTAAACCTGATAGTTTATTTTCTGATGAACTATTGTTATTGATGAGGCTCCAAAAGCTTGTGGGCAAGTACTTTGTAATTTACTGAACTTTTATAACAAAATTTTTAGGACACTTACTTTTATTTAAGTTATTTAAGTAAATAAAACAGAAAGTTATGTTCATTATTTCTAGAATTTTGTATTAAAGTTTGAAACTGGGCTATATAAAGCAAACAATTTCAGACAGGCATCCAATGTGGTAAATATATTTATAAAAGAAACCATGCAATTCTTTTGTTTAATTTTTTCCGTCATCAGAAAATTTATTATTCAAATAATATTTTTCACAAATAAATTTATTTTCTTATTCTCCTATTATATAAGTATCGAGAAAAAATGTCAAAAACAGCAAAAACATTTTTAAAAGCGAAAAGGTGTGAAAAACAAAAAAACACAAGAAAAAAAGTTAACAAAATTTCTCATAGTTTAAGCATACATAGCAAATTAGTTTTTTAATTATACAGGCTGATAAAAATCGTGAATAATTGTAATAATAAATCATGAATTAAATAAATCCAAATAAAATTGTGAAATAAATATATTTCATATCAAAACTTTCAATTGTTGTTAAATTGTTAAATTTTGTTGCTAAAAATAACCACTTTTAAAAAAAAGAATATAAAATTTTTTTTATTTTTATATTCTTTTTTCAAATTATTAAATTTTTCTAATTTTATATTAAATTTGATATTTTGTTACAATTTTATTAAAATTATCATTATTTTTTTCTTAGTAGATAAGTTTAGCTTTTTACCGAGAATTATTTAAACGCTTAAAAAAGTTAAGAGGCCAACTGCTGTGCTCAGTGTGTCTAAAAAAATTACTTTAAATGTGGACAATCAAGGTGTGCAACCACACATGCTTCCTAGAAAGGCTTGGCTTCTGTTCATTGTTGCCCCAGGTAGAATGAAAATTTTATACCTAAAGTGCATAACCATATATAACAATGTCTGTGATTCATTTCATGATTTTACCATAAATCATAGCTGAAATTCTGAGCCATGTCGAAGTCCTTAGGATTTCAAAGGCCAATATCGAGATAAAATGCATTAACAGTGAATAAATTAAATTTTATAAAAATAACTCAGTTAAACAATTATTTTAAAAATTTTTTTGAGGCGATGTTGAGAGTGATTGAGCTTATCTGGATACACTGCTCAGCCCTATATATCTAATATTTATTGACAACTATTTTTTTAATGTAAAGTTTCCCATAAACTTTTTCTGCTCAAATAACCTTTGAATTTAAAACAATTTTTTAAGAGTTGTAATGAAAAACAACTTTCTTCTTGTAACAATCAATAATATTTTTGAAAGAGTTTAAAAGCTTATTTGGAAGTTGTAGTTAAAAGCATTTTATTGGTAAAGTTAAAACGTAAGATTTGATGTTTTGCTTTTAAGGTAAAAACAAAAGATTTCATGTTTGCACATTTATTAATAAAAAAATTTTCACTTATTTAACGAAACTTTAAAAAAAAAAATCTGGCTTGTAAAAAAATAACTTATATTTTTTATTATAGGGAGAAGATATAACATCGATTTATAAGTTTGAAGCTATTATTACCACTTATGAAATGGTTTTGAGTAAGTTAAAAGTCTAACTTTTTAATTTTGTTAACAATTTCTTTTCTTCACGTGTGTCACATCCGTACATAGTAACTCCCAAACATATATATATTTTTAATTCACCTCCTCAAGGCCGAGAAGGCCACTACAGATGAGGAGGCTACTTCTTTGTGGTTATAACCCTCTCTCAACTCTATAACTCCGAAACACGAACCTTGATGAACAAGGCCGCTGCGCAGAGAAACGAGTTAAGCGCCGTATTACCAGGGACGTGGTGGGGATCGAACTCGGAACCACTCGTTTATGAAGCGAGCGCTCTACCACTACCGCATGATTACGGTATGAGGAATTAAGGGTTTTGGGATTGGGATTCAATTTGTATATTAAAAAAAAGTTGTTTTAGTTAGAATAAGCATATTTTCTAAACGTGTTTTAAATTATAAATAACATTAACTAAAAATAACTAAAATTAACATTAATTAAAGTTTTTGCCATGTATTATTTTATGTTTTACTCTTTATTATTTCATTTTTTATTGTGTATTGTTTCATATTTTGTAATGTATTGTTTTAAGTTCTGTTGTTTATTATTCTAATTTTATTAAAATTTATATTAAAAAATATTTATTTTAAATTTAAAACTATTGAAAAAAATTTTCAATATTTTTTTATAGTTTCAATAAAATATTTTTAATGTATTTATTTGATAGCTTTAATTGTAAATATTATTTAGATGCTAATAGTTTTTTGTGCACTATACCTTTTCGTTGTCTCATTATTGACGAAGCTCATCGACTTAAAAACCAAAAATGTAAACTAATGGAAGGTCTAAATAACTTGCAAATGGAACACAGAGTTTTACTTACTGGAACACCCCTTCAAAATAATGTTGAGGAGTTATTCAGCTTGCTTAACTTTGTTGAACCTACAAGGTTTCCTTCTCAAGCTGCTTTTCTTTTTGAGTTTGGAAATCTGAAAACTGAAGGACAAGTTGCAAAACTACAAGAGGTAAAACATTTTTCTTTTATTTTATATTCTTATTTAACTAATTAGAAATTTCAAAATAAGTTAAAATATACATTTTTTTAAAAAGATTTTAAAACCAATGATGCTGCGCAGATTAAAAGAAGATGTTGCCCAAAACATTGCTTCAAAAGAAGAAACAATAGTAGAAGTATGTATTTTTATTGATTTTTCATTCTTTTTTCGTGTTTTTTAATGTTACTTCTTTTTTTTTAATGTTTTGTAATCTAGGTTGAGCTTACAACCATTCAGAAAAAGTTTTATCGTGCAATACTAGAAAAAAACTTTAGTTTTCTTGCTAAAGGTGCTGGATATTCAAATTTACCAAATCTTATGAACACTATGATGGAATTGAGAAAGTGTTGTAATCATCCATTTCTTATTAATGGAGCAGAAGAAAAAATTGTAAGTGAGTATCCATCTATACCTGGAGATACAAACCGTGCTTTAGTTCAAATGAATGCATTAATCGAATCTTCAGGCAAAATGGTTCTTATTGATAAATTACTTCCTAAATTAAAAGCTGGTGGCCATAAAGTTTTAATATTTTCTCAAATGATCAAGGTATTAAACCTAATTGAAGATTATTTAATTGCAAAAAGATTTTTATTTGAACGAATTGATGGTGGAATTCAAGGTAACAATAGACAAGCTGCTATTGATAGGTTTTGCAAAACTGATTCCGATCGGTTTGTTTTTTTGTTATGTACACGTGCTGGTGGTTTAGGAATAAATTTAACAGCTGCAGATACAGTTATTATTTTTGATAGCGATTGGAATCCTCAAAATGACCTACAAGCACAAGCCAGGTGTCATCGTATTGGACAAGATAAACCTGTAAAGGTGTATAGGCTAATTTGTCGAAATACATACGAGCGTGAAATGTTTGATCGAGCAAGTTTAAAACTTGGCTTAGATAAAGCTGTTTTGCAAAATATGAATGTAAAAGAAGGCTCATCTTCTGGGCAACAAGCTATGAGCAAGAAAGAAGTCGAGGATTTATTAAAAAAAGGTGCATACGGGGCTGTCATGGAAGCCGATGATAATGCTAACAAGTTCTGTGAGGAAGATATTGATCAAATTTTAGAACGAAGAACTCAAGTGATTCAAATTCAAAGTGAAGGCAAAGGGTCAACATTTGCAAAAGTAATTTTTTTTAATCTTAATGTTTTCAAATTTTAAAATATTAGTTTAATTATGAATATATTGGATGCTTTTAAAATCACACAATCATACTATATATAATCATACTAGTAAATGACCACAGTCTCAGCTAAATATTGAACTTTATACAAACCCTGCCTTGAAAAAATTATAAGATTTAGCATGAGTACTTTATACAAACCTCTCCTTGGAAAAATTATAAGGTTTAGCATGGTTTGATAGCTAAGTCTAGGAAAAAAGTTATAATACAATATATATTATAAGTTTATGCATATATTTACTGTTGATTAAATATTACTATATAATATGGATATATATGAATATAAACATGTTTTTGCTATTTATTTATATGCTGGCATACAATATCCTTACATATTTATACAAACTATTTGGGGAGAGTTGCCCTAATTGGAACACCTAAGGAATGAAGGTTTTTTAACCAATGATGGTTTAAATAGAACACGTGATTTGGGTACAAACAAATAACTCTACAATACTTTTAACCATCATTTGACTAATTTAATTGCACTGTTATTGGAAAAAAATTTGGTTTTTTTAAGGCATTATTTTGTTCCAATCAAAACCACCGGTTTCCTAAGTTGCTAAGAATGCTTTGATTCCTCTTCTGAAACAGCTCACTAACAGAAATCAATTAAAAATTGTTTAATCCTTACAGTGACAATTTAAACAATTTATTTAAAACCTATAATAGGATTAAATTTGCTTGGGAAAAATGAAGTTTTACAAATTATAAATTGTACAAATATTCAAATATTATATAATACAAAGCTTCAAATATTATGTCGTTCTTTTATTTTATTAATCAAAGTTACTAAAATACTATTTTTATATAAATATGATTTTGTTAATTTTTAATAAATAAATTATTATTTTTAAGTTTATAAATGTAACTATTTATTTTTAAATTGTACCTGAACTTTTTAATCTCTTGAACCCTTTAAGTTTATTACTGATTAAGTAAAGAAAACTTTATAATTCCAACAGACAGATTTTACAAAAAAAAGAATACTTACGGGGACATTAGCATTATCAGGGACATTTTAGTGTGCTTGTTAATTTTTTGTCCCCGTAAGCATTGTATTTTTGTATTAAAAAAATGTCCCTGTAAGCAACTTTTATAGAGAGCGAAAAGTATATAGATCAACTATCAAATAGCTTGACTAGCAACAGAGTGCTGCTACATGAACTGAGTGTTTGGTTTGGGTCAGCATTAATTTTGTTTATTTATTTACAGTTTCAAATCACTAACTTTTTTTTCTTTCCATTATGAAAGTGTTAATATGCAAGTATTGCACTTGTAACTGTATATAAATGCATTGTCGAATAAACCATATTCAAGCCTGTAGGAAAAATTATTAGATTTATTTAAAAAATTTTAGCAAAGTTTTAGTTAACTTTATATAATAAGTTTACGAAAAGGTGATTATTTTGGTTTTGAAATTGCATTTTAACTAAAGGTTTTTCTTTATCATTATTTTTTTAGGTTGATCATAGAAGCATCAATTATAAATGATCAACTAGTTTATGAGTAGTAGATAATGATTTTGTCAAAATGTTCCAAAAAAAATGTTGATAGTTTACCATAAACAATGGTTCCCTTTTTTTAAAAAAAAAACAAAAACTATATAGTGAGAAAGCAAACATAAAACAATTGTTTTAAGTAATAGTATAAGTTTATTTAGGTTTTTTTTTTTTTCAACTTCCAACAAGGCTGCAAACAACCACTATTAGAGTTGGAAGTTACTGGAAGAGAAAAGATGAAATCCATAGAGCAAGATAAGGATAGACAGACAAAATATTGCAAATTACATGAATTAGGAAAACAAGATGAAGGAAGCGAATTCTGAAGAACTGATGTTCGAGGAAAAAAATTAAATGAATAAGAATTTTTTAAGCACATAAGAACAGTCACAGTAAAAGGATGAGATTCAATTGAATGACAAGTAACATGAGAATGAATTTTAGAAGACGGCACAAGAGACGGTATGTCTTTAGAGCAGTGCCCATTATAGTATTTATAGAAAAGAGGAGAAAAAGCAATATTATTATATATGTAAATATATGCTTCATCTGATTCCTTCATTTATAGAAAAAAAAGTGCAAACGCGCTATTGATAGTTTTAAGTTTTAAAAAAATAATTTATTCATTGCAATTATTTGGCAAACAGCAAAATCCTAGCAATAAATAAGTTTTTTTTTTTTTTTCTATAGTAAGATTCTTAAAAAATATATATATTTAGAGAAAATTTTGTTATATGTAACATATCTAACCTTTATAGTAGCGTTTCACAAACGATTATCTTTATATTAAGTATTCAGTTTAAAAAGCTATGAGCAAGAGTTAACAGCATTATTGTTAACTAATTAACATTAGCCAAGCCTTCCCAGGAAATGTGTGCAGTTTTTTGTCTTGTATGTCCATGTATGAGTATTTTACTTTAGACAAATCGGCCATGGCCGTTTGCAAGTTTTTTATATCAAGTGTTGCAGAAACACTTGATATAATAAAACTTTATAAACAAAAGTTTCAAAAAACAAAGAAAGAAAAAACAAAAACAAAGAAAAAGCAAAACTAACAAAAAAGGAAACCAAAATAAACTTAAACAGAAAGGGAAAAAAATCAATTATTTTAATTTAAAAATACAAGTTTTTAAAATTTTTATTTTCAAACAACATATTTAAATTGATATTTTTTTTACAAAAATATTGTTAATTTAAAGATATTTTATAAAGATAAAGACTTTTATGATTTTAAATGTGGTTTCAAGTTAAATTTAATTACAATGCATTCTTTAAAATACACAATTGACATAATTTAACTTTTAACAATGTAAAATATTTATTGATTAAATTGTATTTATTCACTTTACGCTTTTCTGTTATGCAACAAAATCTTATAACAAGGTCTGTACATACATAAATACATAAATACATACATACATACATACATACATACATACATACATACATACATACATACATACATACATACATACATACATACATAGATGCAAGCACATTAAAATCTGATAAAATTTGGTTTAAAATGTTAATATACTTTTTTTAATTATATTTCATATTGTTATTAACATTGTTGTTATTACTTTTCTATGTACGGTAGATTTAATACTATTAAGAGTTTTTTTTTTACTTTTCTTTTTTGCTGAACAAGTATTAAGATTTAGATGTTTATTTTAAAAATAAAAGCCAATATTGGTTTACATACTGAAAGTCTCACAGAGGCCTATTTCAGTGTAACATCAATATTTCATGTTAGTTTTGTATTATGTATTCTTGTGTATTTAAACTTTTCAGAATTCAATTTTTAATTAAATAGTAAGTAATAATATTTAATGACATCTTATTTTGATTAGTATAAATTATTTAGTATTATCCTGGGTCTTTACCAGGATATAAATTTAATAGCTTTTTTTTTTTTTTTTTTTTTTAAATTTTGAACTGGGAATATATTAAGTGCCCATATGATTTTTTTAAGGGAGTTTTTAACGTATCATGTTTTCTTATTTTGTTCCTAAAGCAAAACTTTTTTTATTTTATGGCTTCTTTAAAGGATTTCAAGGTTGATGTCTAATAGTAAAGCTATTGCAGTTTTTAACATACAGGTATAAAGCTGATATAATTAAAATAAAAGTTTACATTCAGTTTATCAACAAAATTATATTACAGTTTTAAACTAAAAGGTATAAGGTTGATAGTTTTAATAAGCTTTTATTAAACTAAGTATTTTTATTTTATACTTAATTTTTTTTTTGTTTTTGTTTTTGGATTTAATTATAATGAACTTGCTAAATTAGAGGTTTTTTTTGTGCGTGTTTACATTTATTTTAATTACTTTAAGCCATACAACACATACAAATAATGCAGTAAAAATTTATGCTCTTTTCATAAAACACTTTTTTAGTAATAACAAAATTTTAATTTGCATTTAAACAGGTGTTTATATTTTTTTGACATTATAGAATTATGCGAGTATTTGATGGAAATACCATTTAAAAAGATTCTATATTAACTTAGCACCACAAGCAGCCACTTTTATTAAAATATTTTTTCTGTAAGTGATATGTGTCGTAGGTGACATAGATCAATACTTTTATCATAAATTTTTCAAGACTATTTTATACAGGACTTGGTGCTCTATACCTCTGGTTTTATATAGTTTTATATAGTTTTTTTCTTTGCAAGAATAAAGTTGTAATTATAAATTGCCTGGATTTGTGTTTAGGCAAGTTTTGTGTCAGACAAAGCACGTCAAGATATAAGCTTAGATGATCCTGATTTTTGGCAGAAGTGGGCTAAAAAAGCTTCTGTTGACATAGATGAACTTGATAAGGTGCTTAATTTTTATTTATTATTTTTTTAATTATATGTATTTGTTTTTTTACAATTGGTTTTATTTACAAAGTTTTTACAATTTTTAATTAAACTTTAATTATGAATTTCCTGATTGTTTAATTTATAGCTTTGTATTGTCATTTGTAAAAATGCATTCTTTATACACCTAAATTTAAAATCAAATTGAAAAAAAAAAATCAACAGACTAGATTGTTAAGCCCAGTTTTTTACAAAATAGCTCCAGTTCTTTCAAAATTCATAGCTCTAGCTTCTAATGGGATCCATACTATGTGGTTTTTTCTAATTGGTTTCAGGATTTTTAGTGCAGAAACCCTCTGCTCAAAATTAACTTGAGTTACTAAACATGCAATTTTATAATGTAATTTGTTACACCATTCTATTTAATAACTATGGGAAATTTTTGGGAAAAACCTAGTTTGTTCCAGAAACAAAAGGAATAATTTTTTATTTTAAATATTTGATTTGAAAACAAGCAACCCTCAAATGTAAGCATCTGCGTCTCTAAATGGTAGAAGACATAATAAGACGAAATGATAAAAAATATTCTTTCGATAAAACCGGTACGAAATGAAACAATTTTTATACAATTATGAAACAAATAAAAATAAAAAATTTTTGTTTCGTAAAAAATACGGTACAAATGGAAACAATAATTTTTGTTTTGTAAAAACCGGTACGAAACAAAATAAGATTATACTAAATAAAGTAGGAAATAACCTGTACAAAATGAAATAAAGTTAAACTTTTTAGTTGAACTTTCGTTTACAAAACATTAAGTTAGTGAGTATTAAACGCGCATTTGTTCTGCTTGAATGTTATAGTTCATGTATTGCTCAGTTTAGGGGAATTAGAAAATATATGTTAGCGAGGGAATTATAAAATGTTCCGTAAAAACCAATACGGAACGAAACACAATTTTCTTGTTTCCTAAAATTTGATAGAAAAGGAAACAAGCTTTATTTGTTTCATTAAAAAAAAACGATAAAAAACTAAATGATTTTTTTGTTTCATAAAAACAGCATGAAACGAAAGCTAACGTTTTCTGCTGTGACAAGCCGAACTTCCAAAAGGATACGAGAAGACACAGATGTCTACTCAAATTTCTTTTTATTCTTATAAACTAAATATAATTTTAACATTATTTTTCTTAAATTTAATTTTTTATGCTAAAATATTTTGACAAATTCTAGCAGATTATGGCTCTGGTTAAGGTCTGCATATTCCTTATAAATTTTTAGAAAGATCTTGCATATAAGTGAATTAAGCAAATGTGTCTGGATCAAGAAAGTGGCTGTAGAAGTTAAATAAAGTTTACAGCAAAAATTTTCAAAAGTCAAATGAAAATCGTGCAATAAATATTTTTAGTTTGTTACAGTGAAACAAAAATCATTAAGGTATAGGTTATGTTAAGAACTTTGTGTCATTGGGTGCACAATAATAGGTGTTACAAATGTGTAGAGAATAGAGCGTAAGTAAAAACATGGATTTAGATAATTGATGTGAATATCTTGACAATTTTTTGTTTTTTTAAGAAAAAGTTTGTTGACAAATAAAAAATTATGAACGAATGTGTATTAGATGCATGGTTTAAGTCTTAAAAAAAGGAAATAAGATTATTGGTTTTTAGAGTTCCTGTGGGTGCTTGAACTAATTTGAACATGTGCCAAACAAGTTTTAATACAAATATAATTAATTTTATTTTTTATTTTACATGTTTTATTGTTAATTATTTATCATACTAAAAAATTAACTGAAAAAAATGTAAAACTAGGATGACCAATTGATTGTTGATGAACCTCGTCGGCGTAAACAAACAAAGCGGTTCGGAAATGATGAAGAAGCAGCACTGGAATTATCAGACTTTGAATCTGATGATGAGACTTATGAACCTTTAAACAAAAGCAGTAGGGTACCTCGTCTATCATCAGGTGGGCAAAGTCATATTGAGCGAACTGCATGGACACGCGTTGAATGTTTTAAGGTTGAGAAGAATTTATTAATATATGGGTAAGTATTTCAACTTTTTTTTTTTTTTTGTTTTTTTTTTTGTTTCAATTATTTTGTTAAATAAGAATTTATTTTTGTTTTCGAATTCTTGTTTTAATGAAAATTTATATTCTAAATATAGCCATGTCATATGTAGTTTTTTTAACTTTATTTATATTTTTATTATTTTGTTAATTTTAATTTTATTGAACTTGTTTTACAACATTTGTAAAACACGCTAAGTCTGATTAAATTAATTTTGAAAAAATGAAAACGAAAAACTGAACTACTCATAGTTACACATCAAAAGAAATTTATATTTTTTTAGAACAAAAAAACTTCAATTGCTCTAATGTTTAAATAGACTAGCAGTAAGCAACCCGTAATACGCGTTGTTAGTAAATAAAATTTAAAAAAAAAACCGCGAATAGAAAAGTCGAGAAACTACTTTAAAATAGAAAAGCCTAGAAAATGACATAACTCGACTAATAATAATATTAAATTAGTGTATTCATATTATCAGATGATAGATTTCAGTTTATAGAATGTGGAAATGGAATTAAAATTTTTATTTTTCTGACTCAGCGTGTTTTGTCTCCTCAATTAGGCAAATATTAAAGTCAGATTAGGTATATAATTGGGTTTTTTAAAGATAAAAAGTAAAATCATTATTAAATAAGTTTAAAATATATATATATATATCATTTTAAAATAGTTAATATAATTAGTTACAAGTTTTTTTAATTTTAAGTGTATTGAAATTATAAATTTTTAAAATTTTATTACTAGTTAATTTTATTCATCAAACAGAATTTACTATCTAAATTCAAGGGTTTGTGGTTTTTTCTTTTTTAGATTTTCCAATTTTAAAAAAATTTATGCTCTCTTACAATCATACCTATTTTTTATTTGTTTTGTATCAAGTATAAATTCTGCTTTGTGATGAGCAAAAACCTGAATCTTTAAAAGCATCAATTTTGTTTTTATAAACATGCTTTATTGTTTTCTTTAAGACTTCACAGTATAGGTGTACATAGCTATTAAATTTTTTGCTTCTTTGTTAAGTTTTATTACCTGTAATGATATTATATATATTTTAGTAAACAAATTAGAAAGTTTGCTTATATGAATATTTCATTTATTACAATCTGTTGTAATTATTAAGTTTCAGAGATTCTATTTCATTGGATGATAAGACCCTGATAAGATCTGGGGCTGATCTTCCAATGATGCTCTTCCTAATTTAAACAAGGTGCAAAAACACATTGTAACATAGTTGGACCTGCTCTTGCAACCAACCTCCAACCATTATTGCATCGTAGTAATGCTGCTTCTCTTTCTCTTTTCTACAAATACTATAATGTGCACTACTCTAAAGAGCTAGCGACTCTTGTGCCATCTACTAAAATTCATTTTGTATTATTTGTCATTTAATTAAGTCTCATCCTTTTTCTGTGACTATTCCTATGTGCTCCTAAAAATCTTATTTGTCTAGTTTTTTCCTCGGACATCAGTTCTTTGCATTTCGCTTCCTTCTTCTTGCTTACCTGATTCATATAGTTTGCAATCTTTTAAGTTGTCTGTCAATCATTATCTTGCTCCATAAACTTCATTTTTTTTCTTCCGGTAATTTCCAACTCTAATAGTGGTTGCTTGCAGCCTTGTTAGAAGCAAAGTTGTTGAAAAAAAAATTAAAAATTTAGGATAAAATTGATTGTGGATAACTACTATATTGTATCCATTGCTAAATTAGCACCTGCTAAGGTTGCATCTCTTTATCGTGCTTGCCACTTTCTTACCCTGGATTCTATTCTTTATAAATCTTTAATCTTCTTCTATCTATATAAATCTTTAATCTTCTTCTATTCTCTATAAATCTTTAATCCATGGAGTACTGTTGCTGTATCTGGAGCGGATCTTTGAAAAAATTTCTCTTTTAGACAAGGTGCAAAAAGGCATTGTAAACTCTTGCAGCCAACTACCAACCATTATCACATCATCTATAATATTGCTTTACTTTTTCTTTTTTATAAATACTTAAATGGATGCTGCTTTAAAGAGCTAGCATTTCTCGTGCCATCTACTAAAATTTATTTTCATTTTACTTGTCATTCAATTAAGCTTTAACCCTTTACTGTGATTGTTCCTATAATGACTTGAAGTATTATATTTTTGACATTTTTGTTTCCAATAAGGATGATATAAAGTTAATTTATCAATTAAATTATTAATTAAACATCTTATGAAATTTTATCTTTTTATTGAATAATTTTATTTTTAATTCAAAATGTTTTACAGCTTTTACAGTTCAAATTACATAAGAAATAGTGTGTAATTAATTATACACTTTCTTAGGTTCACAACATTTTGGGACACTTTTTTTTCAAAATTTTCATTAAAAAAAGTTTCATTAAAAAATGTTTTTTTATTTTGTTTTGTTTTTGATTTTCAACTTTAAAATTTCCTTAACATTTTTTCTAATTGTTTGTAATTTTATTTTGTCAAGGTGTAATGGTTATGTGAATTAGAATAATTTGATTATTCTTTTTTCATAATTTTATAATTTTGCCATAATTTGGATTTGCAAAAACATGGGGCTCTTAACAATAAAAATCATATTAATACTAAGGTTGTTGCAACAGTAAGTATGTGTGTGTGTCTGTGTGTGTGTGTGCACTCAAATATCTTTTCATAAAAGTCAATGATGACATCATACTAGAATAATGACATACTATTAGGGATTTTTATTTCTCTGAAAAACTGTTGGATTAAAATCAGCATTTTAAAGCCTAAATTTTAGTAAATGTATTAGGACAGTGCTGACCTAAGTCTCCTAAAGTGTGTACATACATGTACATGCATAGATGGCTTTAGGCTATTTCATTTGGTTCTCACAAAGATTAAAAATTTGTATGCTATAATTATATTTAATGTTTTTAAACTTTTGTTTAAATGAAGTTTTTTCTAATTAAAGTAAAGTTCAAATATTAAAGTAAACAACTTAAATTTTGAAAAAAGTTTTTTGCATGACAGCAATTAAGGAAAAGAAATTGTGAAAACTAGTATAATCAAACAAAGATGCTAAAACTTTTGTTAACTATGGACCTTTAATGTAAGAGCTAATTTGACCTGTATAAAAGTATATATGATCTATGTTTGTTTATGCTTTTGTTTTTGTTTTTGTTTCAGGTGGGCTAGATGGCAAGAAATAATATCACATGCTCATTTTCGTCAAGACATGCATCATTCAGATATAGAAGCAATAGCAAGAACTATATTGGCATATTGCTTTCGACATTATAGAACAGATGAAAAAAGTAAACAATTTTTTATAAACCTTATTAATGAATCTGCAAAAAAGGCACCTCCCAAAAATGACAAGTTTGACATAGCTAATCAAATACTAAGTTCTGCATCACCAAAGGGCACTCGTGGACGAAAAAGAGGTAGCAGTGGAAGAAATACTCTTCGAAGGTTAACTCACCAATATAGTAAACCTGCATTAATTGAATGTGGTCTAGACTGGCAATCATTAGAGGAACAACAAATGATTGTTGATCCTGGTTATCGTAAACATTTACAACAACATTGCAATAAGATTATGAGTCGAATACGACTCCTATGTTTTTTAAAAGATGACATTATTGCAGATGCAGCTTCTTCTATTTTAAATGGTGATTTAGCAGATAACATCAAATTTTTAATGCCGCCACCAGATGGTGAAGTACTGACAGAATGGTGGGATGTTAATGCTGATAAATCTCTGCTTATTGGCACTTTTAAGCATGGTAATTTTTATTAATTTTGCTTTGCTCTTTTGATTTAAATAATATTGATTTTTTGTGAATTTTTCTCTAAAAAAAAGTTTTAATCATTCTAAGGTTATGAAAAATATCGGTTGATAAGAAATGATCCTTGTTTGTATTTTTATCAAAAAGTTGGTCCTGCTCCAGAAAAAACAGCTAATTTAAACACTGAGAAGTAAGTTTTTTTCTAATTAATAACAAATGGTTTGGTTGTGTTAATTTTTAACTAGTTTTTTTTTTCTAAAAATTGAATTCACTGAAATTTTTTCTTCCTTCACCAATAAACACACAGGTTCTTAATAAACTTTTCTTGTCTGACACCTTGAAGATCATGTCAGATTTGAATGAATTTCTTGAGTAATTTTTAACATTCTTTGTTCAATTTCAAAAGAGTTTTAAAATATTAAAAGGTTAATATATATATATATATATATATATATATATATATATATATATATATATATATATATATATATATATATATATATATATATATATATATATATATATAGTGATTGCGCCGATTATCCGTTTCAAAAACCGGATAACAGTTCTCATCAATTTGCGGTTAACCGACTATTCCGTAAATTAGTGACGCTTTCTGAATACAAGATCTTCTAAATTTCAAGGAATGTAGCGTTTTAAACTAACTTTTTAAAAATTAATGTTAGAGTGTACATTTTCAAGACAGTTAGTGATTACAGTTCTATATTATATATTTATAACAAAACATGAAAAAAGATATATATATTTTATATTATAATATAATATACCTTTTTAATTATATAATTAAAAAAGGTAGGAATAATGTACAAGTGTTTTAATATCAGCGGATGTTTTAAATGTTTTAATATCAGCGATGTTTTGAATGTTTTAATATCATGATGTTTTAAATGTTTTAATATCATGATGTTTTAAAATCATTCTCTCATATAAAAACATTTGATTTGGAAAAATGAGGTGTTATGAAGTAAATTTTTCTAGCGTATATTTTAAAAACTTATTGTTATGCGGACATAGATGAAAACATAGATAAACTTGAATGTTCTCAAAACAACTTGTTGCGTAAAGATAATATAAAGAATATTATGCTTACACTAAAATACCGCCAAATCTACGATTAAACAAATTCTATTGGTTCAAAAAATACGCTGAACAAGCGAATTAGAGTTCCAGAATATTCTGAAGAAACTTTCTTAAAAATGTTTTGCTTGAGTTGTAAAAGTAATAAATAAATCTTTGAGATTTCTATTTTAAATTGTTTTAAGAATATATTATCAAACAAAACTGATTAAACTAACATTTAAATTAATAAAAGAAATATATTATATCTTTGATAAATTAACATTTGTCAAACAAAAATCGTCATAATTACGATGTTACTTTCTATAAAGTTTTGTAAAATTTTTTAAGTCGGTTTTTATTATTCGAAAATAGATATTTGATATTCAAACAAAATCCGGTTAACCGCAAAACCGGATAACAGCGAAATCAATATATATATATATATATATATATATATATATATATATATATATATATATATATATATATATATTACTATTATGCAATGAAATTCTTCATACTAACAACAAGTAATCTTTAAAAAAAAGTTAACATATAATTGGAGCAAACAAAACACATTGAAATTCAGTTATTAGTAACCAGGGCTTTTGTTTTGAGCAGACAGTCTTTTAGTTAAAGAAAAGTTTTCTAACTTTTCTTGATCTACTTTTTAAAATCTAAGTCTAAGGATTGATGAAGCTCTGACTGTATTTGTGATATCAGTAAAAAAGTAGGCATAAGTTTCTTATGTTGAATGACTTTCCGTTGTGCATTGTAATTAATACGTTGCTATGGCGGTATTAAAGAGTGAGAGGTACAGACAATCTCACTAAGTACCACAATCAACTTGTTTTCACAAACTGTGTCTACCATCAAGGCTTGTGCTATAAAGGTAATGTTGAAAAAAACAATTTATATATGTTTATTTATCTTCTCATTCATCCATTTCAGAAAAACTACCAACTTAAGGAATAACAGCTAATGGCTTATACTAGTTTCATGATTACTTTTTTCATCAAGCAATCTGGTGAAGCAATTTTAAAGGTGTTTTAAAGTTTAAATTTGTTTTGAAGGTTCTGGTGAAACAATTTTAAAGATTTAATTTTTAACAATAATAATTTTAATTTTCACCCTTAAATTTGTTCTATATAATAGAATAACACAATTTTAATTTTCACCCTTAAATTTGTTCTATATAATAGAATAACACTAAATTTAAAAAAGTTTAAATAAAAAATAACTTTTAGGGGTACCCACTGACCCTTAAATATTTAACAATGTTGTGTAAAAAAAAATTCAGAAGTTTGTATAAGAAAAAAAGCAAAATTTTAAAGTTCTAAAATAAAAATTATATATTACAAAAACATGTTTTAAAATAATCTAAGAAAAACTAAACTTTTTTTTTTAAACCTTTTATGCAATAAAATTTAAAATCTTTTTGTAATATTTCAATTAGGCGCAATAAATTAAAGTTTGCTTTTTTGGGCTTGATGCAATTACATCTGAAACAATGCACCCTTCCACTAAAAAGTATATATACACACATACATACATATATAAGGTCAGAATTAAGGTCACAGCTGGTCCGAATACTGTTAAGACTGTTAAGGGTACCCCCAAAAAAAATATTTATTTAAGAAATTTTTAAATCTAGTGTTATTATATAGAACAAACCTGAAGGTGTGTATATATATATATATATATATATATATATATATATATATATATATATATATATATATATATATATATATATATATATATATATACTCATATAGTGTCTCTTTAAGAGCATTTTAATGTAAAAAAAGTCTCTTACGACTACAATTTTAATTACTCGTCTCTTAAGCTGTTTTTGATTGTCGTCGAAATGTCAAAGCAATTAATTTATGCGGAAGTACATTAAATTTAATTGTTTTTTAACAAATTTTTAAAAAACCGCAATTATAACGACTAGAAAGTTTTTTTTAATTAGTAGTGTTTTTGTTATTGATTTAATAAAAAACATTTTTTAAACATGCGTAAATGTTGCTACATCGACTATCTTATAGCTTGACTCGCAACGGAGTGCTGCTACATCGACTGACAAATAGCCTGACTCGCAACGGAGTGCTGCTACATCGACTGACAAATAGCCTGACTCGCAACGGAGTGCTGCTACATCGACTGACAAATAGCCTGACTCGCAAGGGAATGCTGCTACATCGACTGACAAATAGCCTGACTCGCAAGGGAGTGCTGCTACAACGACTGACAAATAGCCTGACTCGCAAGAGAGTGCTGCTACATCGACTGAGGGTTTGGTTTGGCCAGGCAGTCTATCAATTAAAAAAAAAAATTTAATTTTTAAAACTTTTTCTGGTCTGGTTTATTAACGCGCTCTTTAAAACTACAGTTTATGGGAAATATTTTTTGATGCTACGCAAGAGACATGCAAGACTATATATATATATATATATATATATATATATATAAACATATATATATATACATATATATATATACATATATATATATACATATATATATATATATATATATATATATATATATATATATATATATATATATATATATATATATATATATATATATATATATATATATATATATACATATATATATACACATACACACACAAACCTTCCCAGGAAAGCGTTCGCTTTCCTGGGAAGATGAACAAGCTTGTGCGTTCGCACAGCTTGTTCATCCGCGCTTTTAAGTTATTTTATTTTAAGTATTAGAAATTACATAGAATAAAACAGCAATACTTGAAGAAAGGAAAAGTAGACTATATGAAATAGAAAATCTAAATATAATAAGCTAAAAAAAAAATTTTGTCAAAAAAAGAAAATACCTAAATGTTTTTCTGTTTTTGTATTCTTATTTTTAGGGCGTTGGTTATTTTTCAATACTAATTGATACAAGTTGAGGAAAAAAGCAGATAAGAATATAACAAAAATAAAAATATTTTATGATATACAATTTTTTACTACTTTATTTAGTCATATAAACAAAATACTTTATTATTTGCGCTGGAAACATAAACAATTTTTAAATTTGTTTTTTAAATGTTTTTGCTAAACTTTACTGTTTTTATCAATGCACAGGAAAGGGAAAAAACTAATCGCTAGTTGTATATATAAAAAAAGTCATTAATACTTATATTTAAATATAAAATATTTGGTTGTTTTCACTACCCCTAATGAAATAGTCTGCACTTTTGTTGGATTTTCCAAATAGTGCATTTAAACCCGATAGTTTATAAATAGTGCATTTAAACCTGATAGATTTCCTAATGAACTTTATATTTTTTTGAAGATGCTCCAAAAGTTTCTAGGCTAGTGCATTGTTAATTTACTGAACTTTTTAATGAAATTTTGAGGAGCCTTTTAAAAACTTTTTTAAGTTTTTAAATACAATTTTTTAAACTGAGCAATCGTTATGTTCACTATCTCTAGTAATTTGTATTAACATTGTAAATTGGGCAATATAAAAGACACAATTTCAGACATGCATCAAATGCGATAAATACATTTATAAAAGAAACCATGTTATTCTTTTATTTACTTTATTCTTTCATTACAAAAATTTATTAATCAAGTAATATATTTTACAAATAAATAGCAATTTAATTTCTTGTTTTCCGATTAAATAAGTTTTGAGAAAATCACATGTAGCAAAAGTATTTTTAAAAACAAAAAAGCGACAAAACGAATAAATGTAAGAAAAAAAGTTAACAAAGTTTCTCATAGTTCTAATATTTGTAATTCCCATAGTTATAACAAATGTAAAAAAAAAAGCTAACAAAGTTTTTCATAGTTCTAGCATAGGGGTAAGTTGCATAAGATGAGCAGGTTCCTAAGATGGTGTAACCTCTTTTACGGGTAGACAACTAATTTTTTTGGTTAAGTATATTCATATAAGTTCAGCAGTGTTATTTATCTTAATTTCTTGGTTGTATATTTTCTTTTCATTGTTTTATTGTTAAAAATATTTACCATAACCGTTATAATTTTTTTTTATTCAATATTTTGTAATTACGTCAGAACGAAACAAGATCATCAAAAGTTTATTATATTCTCAATATTTTATGCTTATCTATTTCTAATTCCATGGGTTATATGAGATAATACATAAACTGTTGTCATGCTTTAAAATTGCAAAATTTATATATATATATATATATATATATATATATATATATATATATATATATATATATATATATATATATATATATATATATGCACACACATTTCATTTAGTTCTACAGAGCAAAATGAAATTAAGAAAAAAAAAGAGCATGATGATGAAGATTCATTTAATGAATCAGACGAAGAAAAGGTAAACAGTTTTCATTTTATTGGAGTATCCATATTTTGGTGCTTTTTATAATAAATTTTGAATACTGTTAATTGTATTTTTATATTAGGAAGACACTTGCTCCTCTACTAACTCTCCAGTAGCTAATTTTAAGGAATCTTCAGTTGATGGTAGTTGTTTTTCTTTTTTATAAATTTACTGATAATCTGTTTTATGTTTTTTATTTCAATATTATTAAAAAAAATTTATTCTATTTTGATTAGCAATGTAATTTTTTATTTTATTTCGATTAGCAAGTAAAAGCAATGACTTAAGATGGCCGACTCCTACTGATATGAACACTAGGCTGCGTCGCTTGATAAATGGATTATTTAAGTCTAGTGAAAAAGAACATCTTGAAGGCCTAAAAGCTGAGAAGGTACTATTATGTTGGTTTATTTTAGCTTTGCAACTCTAGTGTTTTTATATATTTTATGCACTATTTTAAAAACAAGTATTAAATTTTTAAAGGAAAAACAAAGACAGGAAAGACAAGCAATTGTTGCATCAGAAAAGCAAAAGAAAAAACTAGAACTGCAACAGAAGTATGTGAAATATTTTTTTCTTATATAAGTAAATGGTAAGCTTAAAATTCATCTAAGATATTATCTTGCAGGTGGACAAGAAGAGATGAAGCAGACTTTTATAGAGTTGTATCAAATTTTGGTGTTATTTATGATAAAACAAAAAAGTCATATGATTGGAAAAAATTTAGGCATGTTATTTTTTAGCACATATAACACTTAATAATATTTAAAAAGATTTTTTTTTTACTTTTTTTGTATTGATTTTTGCATATATTTGTATATAGTTTTTTTATAACAATTTAGAGAGTTAGCTCGACTTGAGAAAAAGAATGATGATTCGTTGACATGTTACTTTGAAGATTTTATGTCAATGTGCAGAAGAGTGTGCAAAAAATCAACTCCTGATGAAATTAAGTCATTCCAAGGTTTTATTCTAAAGTTTTTTTTAATAATTTAAATTTTTAATATTAACTGAATAATAATTTGTTTATTCTATTTATTCTTTTATTATACTTAGGTTCAAGTCACATAGAAGAAATTTCTGAGGAACGTGCCAATAGATGCATTGAAAGGATAAAGCTACTATCAAAAATAAGAGATGTAAGTTCTGATTTTGAGAAGTGACATATTTGTTATCTTAAGAAAATCATGTTATGTGCTTTATTTTATTTTTTCAATTATTGACAAAAATTATTAGTTTTAATTGTTATAAATTTATAGTCTCAAAAAGGAATCTAGAAAGGAAAATTTAGAAAATCACAAAATTCTAATTTATTCCTAATTTAGTTATCTCGAAACTTCAAAAATATTAAGAAAACTCACAACATTTAGGGTGCAGAAGCTATCAATTTTATATCAAAAACATAGCTATCTAAGATTCTGAAACTCCTTGCTAGATGTTTTATGTTTTAAGACTTGAAATTCACAGTATTTTAATTCTCAGTTTAGTCCACAATTCTCTTAATATTTTCAGAGCTCCTGGACACAGACTGGACAAACAGTCATTTAAAACTAGAGTCCTTTCAGAGCTTCACATATTGGTTGTATATCCATATCAAATTAAGATTACAGAAACAAAACTAAGTATTATATATAGTTTACTATAATATTAAATTAAACCAGGGTTAAATAATAAGGGTTGAGTCACCTTAAGTTAAACCTAGACTTCATAAATAATCAAAATTTTTAATCAAATAATATATGTTTATATAAACTTATTTTATTAGTAAATTATTTAGTTAAAAAGTTTATTTTGATTAGGATATATACATATAATCGTTAGAATATAAATACAATGTACTAACTAATAATTTGCAGAATAGAAATGTAATTGAATAATAATTTTTTTTTTCCTCTTTTTTTTTTCTTTCCATTTGTTCTCTTTTTGATTGATACATTCAAATTAGTAGAAGTAAAAAGAACAATTCTAATTTCTATGGCATTTATTTTAATTACTAACTGTGTTAGTAATTAAAAGAAATGACTCAGGGATATAGTTTGGGAAGCCATTATGTATAAAGGACACTTCAGCAAAAAATCCTTTAAAATACAATAAATTATACACAAGCACATGTGCTTTAGCAAAATTTGACGTGCTCAGTTTTTATTAATTTAATTTAAATACCTTAAATTTAAAAACTTTGAAATTAAGCATTATGAAGTACATTAATATATGAGAAAATGAATTTCTTCTAATAAATGTTCTTCATATCTAGCGAGTCAAGATAGTCAAGTCGATGAAGCTTTACCTTAATGTATGTACTAAAGCCATATTTCAGTATGACATCATAAATGCTGTTCTAATTGGCTAATTTACATAAACTTATTTCATTAATAAAATATTTAGTGTTTTGAAAGAATAATTTTGAAAGAAATAGCAATATCAATACTGTAACAATAATAATAATGAAAAGTTAGTTGAAATTATGATTTTTTAAACAGGGGGCTCCCCTCCCCCTGGCTCCCCTCTCCCGTGTTGGCTCTGGTTCTTATTTAAATTTGAAGGGAGTTTTAATAATTTTAACAATAATTTTTAGTATTTTATCATTTTAAATTTTTTCTCAACTGTTTGGAGATTTTTATATAAAGAATTTATTGCTTCACGTAAAGTTAATAAGTTTCTTTATGGTAATATATAATGGAATAATGTAATTATATAATAAAAAGTCATGATATAAATGTTAGTTATATATATATATATATATATATATATATATATATATATATATATATATATATATATATATATATATATATATATATATATATATATATATATATATATATAAAGATATACATTTTTGTAGGTTTTGCATCATGATCAGATTAATGAAAGGTTAAAGCTTTGTGAAGTTTCTCCAGATTTTCCAGTGTGGTGGGAAAAAGGAAAACATGATAAAGCTTTATTAGAAGGTGTTGCTAGGTACATTTTGTTTAACTCTCGATTTTGACTTATAATTTTAGTTGATTTAACAAAGTGGCTAGCGGTTGTTGAAAACCTGGAAAAGTCCTGGAATTTGATTGGTCATGGAAAAACATCCCTTTTAATTTTTTTCTGAAATAAATCAATATTTTGTTATCTTTTACAGAGTTTTAATTTTGCATAGATTTATAATTTTGATAATTATGTATATTCTGTAAGGCAAAATAAAATTTTATTTAATTTTACTGTCAGTATTATTAACTTTTTTTATTTATTTATTTATTTTTGTTTTCATATTTTTTCATAAATCAACATATTTTGTATTTTTCTCATCAAGAAAAAATCAATATATCTTTGAAAAACCAAAAATTTTCCTTGAAAAGTTTTTTATATATCCTGGAATTTTGTATTAGTTATTAGCTAGCAACTCTGTTTAATCTAATCATAAAACTTATTTTTAATATTTAATTAACTAATTTAATTACTAATTTAATAATTATAATATACAATTTATTAATAAACAGCTAATAATTATAAAACTATATTTAATTTAAAAAATTAGTTTTAATAAATATAAAAAACAAATTTAGTAAACAAATGAAATTACAATTCATAAAAAAACTATTAAATGATCATTATAATAATCAATGTTATATACAATTATACGAAACTCATAACATAACAAAAATTAACATCATAGTACTGCAACTTAAATGTTATCTTTTTTATTTTTTTAGATATGGCTTAGTTCGAACTGAGTATACCATACTCATGGATCCAAAATCTGTATTTAAAGCTCTCGCTCTCAAACCTCATTTGCAATCTGGAGTTGGTAAGATTTTCTTTTTTATATATTAATAATGAGAAAACAAAGTTTCAAAATTTTGAAATTTTATATTAATAATGTCTTCTTTTATATTAATAATGTTTTATATTAGATTTTTTAATAACAGTTTTGTGTTTGATTGATAAGCTCAAGAAACAAACACTTCAACACCACCTTCGTCTACAGCCTCTTCAAATCCCAATATATCTACAGCTGCATCAAATTCATCACCTGCAACTATACAGCAAACCATTAATGGTGTAACTGTTGATACAGAAGAGCATAAAGAGAAAAGTATATTATCACCTAGTATTCAAACCCATTCATCTAGCGAAAACAGATTTTCATTTGCAACTGAAGAGTACGCACACCTACTGCCAACATGGCCAAAAGTAAATTTTTGTTAGCAGTTGTTTCTGTTCTAGCTAGAATCATGGTTTAAGTATACATTGCATATATTAAATGATTAAAATACACATTTCATAGACAATTGAATGTATTAAAATTGCATCTCTAGTGTTGTTATTTTTGTTAAATAATTTTTTTTAAATATGAATCTGTTAAAATTCTAATGCTTTTATTAATTATACTATAAATTTTTGAAAAAAAAAATTAAAAAATATACATATTTTTTTAAACTTAGTAAGAAACTTTTTCCTGTGCTAAAAATGAAAGTATAATAAGTTTGAAGAATCTTTTTGCACAGCAAACAAATTTTTTTTATTGTTGTTGAGCATTGCAATTATTTTTATTTTGTTTTATAGGAAAAGTCAATTGTCTACCATCTCCAAAAAGTAGTTTATCTTATACTTAAAGGTGAATGGCCAAAATTAATGCGTTATGATAATTCAGTAAGTAAGTCCATTCCTTCAACATCAGTTAATTCAGTAGCTCTAATTACACGTTCAGAATTAATTACTGATAAGCCTGACATGTGCAGAGGCCAAATGGCAGCACCTATTCATGATTCAAGAGATTTTAAAATCAAAAGTATTGATGGGTTGAAGCTAACAGTAAAACCTTTAGTAGACTTTAAAAAAAACAAAAGAAAAGCTGACAATTCTAAGCTGTTTGGGGAGGAATTAATTAATGCAAAGATGAATAAAAATGGAGAAAAAAGCAATGATTATCGAACTCAAGATGCTGTAAATCGCATTCGCAAAGAAAATTACTCTAAAGTACAGGTACAATTTATGTTATTATAGGGTTATTGTATTATTAATATAAGGTTATTATGGAAACCTGTATGAAACCATGTATATTGAACGTTTTGTTTAAAAAAGTTTTTTTTTTCCAACCGTTTAAAGATTCTGTGTTTAGATACATATACCAAAATCAATGGATGAATCATCGTCAGAAAAATTAGAAAACCGCAAACCTGTAATTCATTTTCCTTCCAATGTAAAAATTGGCAAGATCAATTCATCATCTGTTATAAAAAATGTAAATGAAATGAAATTGAAGAATCCTATAAAATTAATACAAAGGGTATTATATATTATTATTTATATTACTTTTTCATATAATGATTATTATTTAAGAGAAATGAAATGAGTTTTGATCTTTGTAACACTTACCAACAAAGATCTATGGGTGTTGTTCAATAATTTTGAGCTGGATTTACCTCCTCTTTCCCCTTCCCCCTCTTAGACCACAACCTCTCCCACCAAAAAATAAATAATTCTTTTTTTGAATGAAAATTTTAGGGTTTGATTTTCAAATACGTAAACAAGAATCCATTTACTTTTAAAGCATTTTTAAAAGTTTGAATTTTTTCTTATTTTTAAATTTTTTTCTTTCTTAATTTTAAATAAACCAAATATGTTGATACAAGCTGAACTTTTTTAGAATTAGATATTTTTAATGCCATAACTAAATTAGTAATAAAATGTTAGTTGTCTTTTGTTAATTTTAGTTTGTTATTAAAACTAGTAGATAATGTTTTTAAAAAAATTTCAAATATCTTTCATCTTTTTTATGACTTCCCTCTACACGTATAAATTTAATATAAATCTTATATTGACTACTTGACCTCCTAACCTTTATTTATTATTTTATAATCGTTTTAGGATGTGAGAATTGATGATAAAATTCCTATGAATGATAGTAAAGAAAATCTCTTTTATTCTAAAGATAAGACGAGTGACAAAATTGAATTAATAAAAACTTCAAAAGAAATTGTCATAAATGAAAATCGGTCAGATAACAAAACTTCTATAAAACATGATTACAAAGACACTAAAAATAAAGTCAGAATTGATGTCAAGAAACCTGATCAACCGATAGCAATTCATTTAAATAGCCCTAACTCAAATGTTCGTATTCAAGGCTCAAAAATTGAAGTAAAAGAAAAGGCGTCAACTAAACGCGAAATAGATCTCTCAAATGTTATACTCCGAGTACCAGACCCATCAAAATTTTTAGCAAATCAAGATTTGAAAAAGAAAAAAGCAAAAATGCTGATTGAACAAAACCATGAAAATAAATTAACGACATCAGAGCCAACTGAGCGTTTTACTTCCCCTAATTCTCTTTCTGAACCGTTAAAAGTAAGACCAGAAAGATCCGCAAAAAAACGTGCTAAGGATTCAATATTAGAAATGACGGAAGCAGAAAACGTGAACCATATTGATTACAAATATTCTCCCACTCATCATTCTGATTTTCACACGCCTTTAGCAATCAAATCTCGTGATTATTACCGAAATGAATTGTACAACGATAGAGTTTCTCCTTTTCGTGAAGGACGCTCACCTATTCAAAACGAAGTTTCGTCATATTATCACAGTAACTATTCGCCGAGTAAATACGTTCGTTCTCCAAGTGTTCAGTCAGTTAGTGATCATGCTATTTCTCCCCGTACGCACATTTCTCCATCAGCATCAGATAGTTTGAAACACCACTACACTCAGCCGCTTTCTCCGCGTTATTATGATGATGATTCTCATTTTTATCCCGAACGAAGCAAGTCTCCAAAATACTATGATTATGTTGATAAAGAACATTATACTTGTCGTAAAAGTCCATTATTCTCTGCACATTCACATGATAAACATTCTCCTTCAAAGCGCAAAGAAGATAAAATATACAAAATTTCAGAGCAATTCAAAACTACTCGTGTAAAACACTATAATCCGCATACTGTACCAGAAGATAGACTTTTGCATGATCTTTCTCCTAATGAATATCTTGATGGAAAGTATAGCGATAAAAGGGCTACGTCTTCTCTGTCTGTTGAACCATCTTATAATTATCAACCGTTGTCGCGTACTCGAATGGATGTTTCTGATTTTAAAACAGGCAAAATCTCCGAGCGTAAAGTTCAAGTCAAACCGCGTAATTTTTATCAGCCATCTGTTAAAGTTTACGAAAAATCGCAAGTAATAACTAATGCAAATAACTCTCAACCCGCTTTGTTATCTAATCCAATGGATAAAAAGCGGGTGGGAGATGAAAAAGTTAGTAGGGATCCTCCAACATCATTTTATCCAACTGAGCAATCGTCAAAAAGCTCTAAGTTATCTACACAATGCTCTGTGATCGAAATAAAACAAAATTATACTGCTCATGAACGAAGTGCAACCACGCCTACTTCTAAAGAACGCAAAAATGCTGGTAGTTTGTTGGAGATGAAAATACAGGGTTTAAAAAAACAACGATTAGAGCAGTTAAGTGATAGTTCAAATGATGGACATGGAGTAACTTCTCCTGATTTTAAATCAATTTCAACAGATTTATCTAGATCAGCATCGTCCTCAACTAACGCTGTTAGTTTAGAAACAATTTTGCCTAAGTTGGATAGCACGCAGGCTGTTAAATATTTAAACTTGGACAATATTGCAAAAAACCTTACTAAATCTGCTGAAAAATCGTGTTCAGATGTTTCAAAGAAAACAGTTTCCGAAAATTTAGTTGAATCTGACTCTGCTTTAAGCGACACTTTAAATGTAAACTTTATACCATCAGAAAGTACTTCGAATATTCCGGAATCTCGTATTACAACTGATCCTAATATGACTTGTGTAAATAAATTTGAATTAAAAACCTTAGAATCGTGAATAGCAAAAAGCTTCGGTTGATAACTTCTAGCTATTTAATTGTTATTTTATGTGCATATTTTTTTTTCTTTTCTTTTTTTTAATGTTGCCGGCAAAATATTGTGCTTTTTTAAAACTATTGTAATTTACATAAAAACTTGTTTCTTATTGTTTTAATAAAGCCGTCGAGAGCATTATTCCTGATCCTTCTTGTCAGATCTTCTTACAGGTGGTAATCAGTAATAGTAAGATTTTGTGATTAGCAAATTATTTTCTGTATTTTTTTTATTTCAGAAGTATATATATATATATATATATATATATATATATATATATATATATATATATATATATATATATATATATATATATATATATATATATATATATATATATATATATATATATATGTATTAATGATGTACCAGGTACCCGGTAATTCATTTTATTGTAGTAGCCACCTTAAGGTGGTATCCAGCCATTAGTTCTATTTTTTATATTTTACACATAATAAATACCTTTGGTGAATTACTAGCATAATAGATAAAAATCTAAAATGTAATGCAAATAAATTATTATTTGTCAGCAATTATGCTGACTCAGAAAAAAAAGGTGAAAATGTTAACGTCACAAGAACATAAATATCTTAAGAATACATCAATATGAAAGGTTTAAATTTTGCAAAAAGCTAGTACACTAGTGCAGCTAGTGCCTGAACCAAAAAATTTTGAAAAAAATTTAAACGATTAAAAATGGTAGACTTAATGATATAAAAAACTATTTTTAGCGATAAAACACTATTTAGATATGGTAATTGTAGGTTAAGCTTAATTTTTTAATGTTTTTTCAGGTTCAATTGTAGGTTAAGCTTAATTTTTTAATGTTTTTTCAGGTTCAGGCACTAAAAACATCAATAATGAACATATCCTAAAAATTTGAAACTAAAATAATGTTTTTTTATTGAGATATCATCGTTTTGCTACAGCTACCCGTAAAAAAATTAAGAAAAATCAATTTTAAAATTATAAATCATGTATACTACTCAGATAAATCATTAATAAACCTGGTGATAAACCACCAGCAAAACAATCTTTTGCAGTTTCTTTATCTAATTTTTGTCCAAAATAGTTTTTCTATCAAATCTTAATTTTTTTCTCTTTTTTTTTTGTTACATCTGACATTTTTTTGTTCATATTTTTTAGCTGTATAGAGTTTTTTTTACTTGCACCAATTTCAAAGTAACTACCAGATTTAATAGTAAAAGCATCAAATACAGAAGATAACTTAGCAAAACCATCATTATAAGTAATGGTTGCATAGTAAACAGCCATTTCAACAACAACTTTAGAGTTTTATTTTATTTAACATAGTTTTATGGGATCGGTTCCAAATTAGTTGATTAAACGCTTCATTTCCATTTTGAGTCATGCCGTGCAAACATTTTGCAAGCATATCAGTATTTGCTAGATCTTGAAATACTGGCTTGATCTTTTCCATAATGGCAACGGGTAAATTCACCTTTTTCTTGTATGTTACATGACCAGTTGCTCTATCAGACTGCCATTTACACCAGCTTTTTTCACCCTTGGTGCAAAACATATGAGGATATTCTTCAGAGGTAAAATTAGTGCAATGTTGAAGTGAAGCTATTACAGAGTTCCTCAGTTCCAAAAGACTATTTGAATTTTGTCGAATAGCCATTCCAACATAATTTTGCAAGATGTTAATTACTTTATCCGTGAGACGACCTTTACCAGATATACCTTTTCCTTCAGATAGTTTTACCCGTCCTAATTCTTTTCTTTTAAGACGCAGTCGATTTCCTGTACGTTTCTGGTAATGCCCAATACATTCTAGTTTCATTGGAACAAGGCCATCACCATAAGGTTTTTGTACAATAACTGTGCTAAACGAGGTAGTGTCTCCATCTCCGAGATATTTAGAATAGCGAATGTTATATTTATTTACTGAAGAGCAAAATAATTCTGTTGCACCAGCTGACTCCATCGCACCAGCTGATTTAGTGTGGTTTACTGATTTAGTGTGGTTTACTTACATACACTGCTCATATTTGAGTGTCCCTTTTTTTCCTTCCCAAATTTGACATCTTTTACAAAACAAAGATAATGTAACAGTATCCAATACTGTGTAGTTGTCGTGAGACGTTGCTACCACAACACCGTTCAAAGAAGAATATCCTCTCCGCTGCCAGGTACCATCAATAGAAACACTACAATCAATAATATTATTCATATTAGAGTCAGGTTTCAGTATTCTCCTAACTTCCATAGCAGCATTTTTCATACTTTGCTCAGCAACTGATTTATAAGCGTCGTAAAGTTTGCTATTAATACAGTCAAAACTAGGTCTTGATAAAGGTGGTGGCATGTTCATTATGGAGGTAAAAGTTAACATTGCATTTCTGCCTCTGCCAATCTCCCTGAATACCATAATACTGCGTACATTAATTTCACTAGTATTTATACCAGGTTTATTGTTTTTGACAACAGGAGAAGAAAAAAATGTATCTTTAAAAGCACAACCACTGCAATAAATTTGAAAAAACAAAGAAAAACCATACTTTTCAAAACAACTTTTCATTTGTTTAAAATGCATAAAAAATATAAATTCGTCGTTATCAAATAATGTTTTTTCAAGATTATTTTTTAGCTTTTTACTACTTGTAGAACTTCCTGTGTTTGTATCAAATTGCTTATTGGTGTTATTGGAATTATTATGCTGATTGCCGTTAAACTTTCTTTTCCTTGGTCTTATTATTCTTTTTTTTTGTGGCCATAATATACTTTTCAATAACTTTTTAACTGTAATAGGTAAGATACAAAAATTGAAAGTGTAAAACACTATTTCATTTGAATTCAAAAAGGCAACAACACAATATGAAACCGTTAAAAATAGCAATGAAACTTAGATTTATGACATTTAGACCAATATAAACTTAAAACATTAAAAAAAGAAAAGTTACAGGCTCGGCATGTCTAGTTTTCAGAGACTAACTTATGGCTATGGTTGTTGCTATGTGATTTAAAAATAGCTTGATGTGTTTGAGAAGAATATTCTTGATATTCTAACATTATTTTTGAAAAAACATTTTTTCTATTGAATTTTACAATGTTCAATTGTATGAATAATATTTTTTCAAATTTTTCATTTTTTTTTTATTTTTCAACAAAATAATGGCTGGATACCACCTTAAGGTATCTTAAAATTTTTTTTTTTCATAAACAGCAACCTAAAGTCCTGTTACTATTTAAGTGGTGCCTTAAATTGTGTCAAAATATTATTAACAGGATTGCTTTTAGTTTAAGCTTTAACTATTAAACTTCTTGATATAAGTCTAAGAGTGTTATAGAGTCGATAACCACAAAGCCCTATTTACTCAATATAGATGTGTCTTAAAATATTTTTAAAATCATTTTTGCAAAATAATCAGGATTGCAAATTTAAAAATGATTTACACGGTTATTTGAATAGCTTCTTATTGTGTGAGAATTTTTTCACAAGAGCATTTTTCGAAGTTGATAGAGTTAATTTTAAAGCTCTCGATGTTTTTGGCATTAACAACGTCAGAGGGCAAGTTATTCTAATTATTAACAACCCTGAGGCAACGGTATATTATATTAACTAGATGTCTAACTTCGATCTGAAAAGTGAAGCCGCTTTTGCTTTTGCAAATGGCGGATTAAATTTATAAATCAATATTATTTGACTTTTCTTAAATAAAGTAATTATATTTTAAATATAAATACTATTTATGTAAAAGTATTAAGGTGGTAATCTACTTTAAAAACTAAATCCTTGAATTCTTTATCAAAAAACTCAATATTTGGTAACAATATAAAAAACCTTATAAAACTATGGAGTTTTTATTTAAATTTTTGTTTTTGAAAATTTAAATAAAGACTATTTACAGAGACAATGTTGGATTTTAACGAGAAAGAACTTAAACTTTTGCAATGAAAACTTTTTACACTTTTTTTAACGCAGCATCAAATAAACAAAATTCTTGCAGCTTCAAATAAACAAAATTGTAAAAAAGTGTAATCATTATAGCATTTGAATATTTTCCTTTCTCGTACTTCAATAACAAAGTGTAAATAATATTTAAGACAAAAAACTTTCGTTCCCATGCTCCGATCATTGCGAAGCGCCTTTAGTTGATATTAGCATAAATATATAAATACTAGGAGTTTACTCCATGTCTGGAAGTTAGCTATTTCTAATACCGAAATATGGCTCCACTACCCCTGTTTATTTTTCTCCAATCTAAAATATTTATATCTGCGACACAAGTTTCAGCCACAAAACATATATAATAATAATAATGAGACAGGTCTTACAACTGTTAAAAAATCAGTTAAAGTAATTGCTGGTAATACCCTACACTATACATGTTTATTATATCAGTTTTAACAAATCAAGTACTTAAGTTTTTATTACTTAAATAAAATCAAGTAATAACAAAGAAAATTGGTATTTTATAAAATTTTTATTAAAAAGTGTCCAATTTTCGATTTTGTATACAACTTCTATAAAATAAAATATTACCGTTTTTTAGTTTATTATAAACTAAAAGTTTGTACGCGAGAAATCATCAAAATATATACTTTGTATTTCTCGACTTTTTTTTTTTTCTATCTTGTTTTTTCATATTTACCCATTTCGTTGCAAGCCATAAAAATTTTAATTTTATTCTAACAGTTTTGTCTTAAATATTATTTTTATTAAATCAAGAATTTGTGTACTAAAGTGGTCTTTTTACTATAACAATTGAAATAACAATGGCAAAGCAGAAATCTTATCAGGAACTACTCTATATGCCAATCAAAGATGTTACTGATATTGCAGCACCAGTAACAGCATGTTGCTACTGATGCTGTAGCATCAGTAACAGCATGTTGTTGAGGCAACTTTAAATATAAACGGAGAGAAAGCTTATTCAATTAAAGAAAAAATGAAAACAAGTTATTCAAAAAAAATTCACTTGATATTCAAAAAACATCTCATTAGAGCTCTGTGTATTGTCTATTGTCATGCGCTTATAACTAATTTACTTTTTTTTTTTAATTTCAATTATTTTTTAGTTAAATTTTTTGTTTATTAATAACAATTCTATGACATAATAAAATGAATTTAAAAAATATATAACATATCATGATACAACGTAATTTAACGAAGTATAATAT